TTCAATTTCGGCTGGAAAATAAATTTCCCTTAAACTTGCATGGAAGATGCCTAATGAACCCTAGAAGACATTCCAATTCGAGTTGATGACAGACGTGCTTCTGAAAAGAAAAATTTCCTAAATTTTGGGACAAAATTGGTCGAAAATGTTAACTTTTTTCCTCAAAAATATCAATGAAATTTGCCTAAATCTTTAAAATTTGGGGTGTTTGAATAGTGATTGATGCTCCTCTTGCCTCTGAAGGACTTTTTGCGTTGTTTGAAGAAAAGTCAATTTTTGGCCAAATTTCGATAAAAATGTAAGGCTAACCCCCTTGCATTTTTTTTAAATTTTGGCTGAAAAATGAATTTCCCTAAAACTTGCATGGAAGATGCTTTATGGACCATAGAAGACTTTCCAATTCGATTTAATGACAGGCGTGCTTCTGTACAGAAACTGTTGTCTAAGCTTTGGGACAAAATCGGTCGAAAATGTTAACTTTTTCCTCAAAAATATCAATGCTTTTGCCCAAATCTTTAAAATTTGGGGTGTTTGAATAGTGATTGATGCTCCTCTTGCCTCTGAAGAACTTTGTGCGTTGTTTGGAGAAAAGTCAATTTTTGGCCAAATTTTGATAAAAATGTAAGGCTAACCCCTTGCAATTTGTTTTCAAAAAATTAAAAAAAAATGAAATTCCTTGAAACTTGCAGGGAAGATGCCCCAGGGTACCTAGATTGCATTTCAATGCATTTCTGGACAAATAGCCGAAAAATGAAATTTAGTGAAACTTTCAAGGAAGATGCCTACTAAAGGTACCTGGAATGCATTCCAATACAGGACAGATGTCCTTTTGAGAGTGAAATTTCGTCGCAAATATGGAGTAAAATCAATCCGAAAGTTTGTTTTTGCCAAACAAATCTACGATTTCTGCCAAAAGTCGATTCAGAATTGCTATTAACTTAAGTTTTTATCATGTTCGTGTGTGTATTCACAATACGCCAAATTGAACCCATTCATTAGTGTTAGGAGGTAATCCTATACAATAGCACTGCCCGGCTTAAGTGACAGTCAGTAAGTGAGGTAAGTAAAGAGCGAACTCAAGGCCGACCCTCTGGGACCAGCAAAAGGGAACAAAATGTCAAACACTAAACACTGGCGTTCATTTATAATCGTTTATATTTCAAACTTTATTTCTGTCTCAAGGCACAAAACTATTACAATCTGTTTCTACTCGACCAAACGCATGCAAAGCACTACCATAATTTCCCCTAGGCCCTGTATGTCTGTTGTAAACACTAAGGAAATACAATTTGAACTACCATTTCTAACATCAAGAGTTACTGATATTCAGTTTGGGCCAAAAATACAGCAAGTTCGGGCATGAACTATACAGCTGACCACAGTTTGACTAACTTCGCTTCAAGGAAGGATGGTTCGACTACTCGACCTGACTATTACATGTATTTGGAACCGGACCATGAGGCACGGTTGCATCGCCAGGATTCAAAAGTTTCGTGAAGACGTTCTGACCCTCGTTTGACTGAAGGCGTTTGCGCATTGCTATTAGTGCGCAGGCTTAAGTTACGTCACATATCAACCATTGGTCGACTAATGGTCCTCGCCCGAACTTGCTATGATGATTAACAATGCATGCCATTGGATACCGTTTCTGTGAAATGTGAAATATCCTAAAATCAGGTTTAAACTTTTAGCTTATTTGAGCTTGGGTTAAAAGGAAAAACACTACCAAAGGCAGGAATGTGTTCTGAACAAGGCACGAATGCGGAGTTTATGTGCAAAGGTTCTGCATTTTGCAGAAACACAGTCTAAATAATGAGTTTATCAAACTACACAATAAATTGTTACTTGTTTTCCCAATTCATTCCATCTGAGTGCAATAAAAATTAATTTAAAAGTTGAATAAAGAAATTGACTGTAGCGGGGTCTGAACCTACGACCTCAGGAATATCGTTATAGTGCTCTACCAACTGAGCTATCCAGCCCTATGTTGGCGGTTCCCCATTTTGTCAATATCTTTATTCAAGGGGTGCTAGTCGGAAGCCATAAACCCCTATATGCCATGCAGCCAGGGATCGCGCCCAAAGTCACGATGCAAGCAACATCAGCAATGTTGCAAACCTGGGAAATAGCAAACGGGGTTCACTCAGAGAGGATACAGCTTTAATATTTTTATTACAATTTTTAAGAAAATGGTATAACTGAAATATGAAATAGATAATCAGTATCCACAATGACTGAATTCGCAACCGAAAAATGAAATTGTATGGTTTATAATGACTCCAAAAAAATTATGGGACAAAGTTCCCAAATGAAAATGCTAACTCTCGTCATGAAAAATGACAGTTGGCATGACCAAATCGTAAATTTGTCAAATCGAGAGTTACCTTGCCTCGGTATTTGGTGCAACTACAACTCAAATAATAATTACAAATTAAAAAAAAAACTCACAAAATATACAAACAAAAACTAATCCACACTTTTCAAATAAAACAAAATGGTTACTATGGCAACATGAACAATCACAAAACTAAAATGAAAAAGTGAAAGATGTGAAAGATATTTAATAGGTTTTTTTTCACAAAGCAATTCAAATTTTGTTTCGTTCCTGACTTTGGCATACAACAGCAATCAAAATAGATGGGATGCAAAATAGAAACGATTCTCTTGACCTGTTTTTCATTGACTGAATGGAAGGAAATTCAACAAAATATGCTTTGTGGTTTCCAAATGTGTAGCCTTTCTTTGTCCATTGGACAAAAATAGCAGAAATCGGGGGAAAAAATGTCATTTTGTTATTTGAAATGACACCTTAGGCACGAATTGATGAAAACAGATGTAAAATAAGAATTCACAACATCAGATGCTTAAGTACAGACTTAAAAAAACAAACAAAAAATCAAATGTTTGTGTCGTAGATTTCAATTACAAGTGAATATTTAAAACAATGATTCCCTAGCCAAAAATATGCTAATCAATCATAAAGATCTGCGTAAATGTTAAAAGACTATCATTTTCTATGGTACATGTAAATAAAGCACTGCTAAGGCAGCTTATAGAATTGTCCTTTTATTCATTAAAAATCTGGCACTTTTTGTAAACTTCAATTTCTGCAAAATCTGTGATATCAAGTCACTGTATCCATTCAATGCTAAAAATAGTTCCTCTGTCGGCATATTTATATTAGCAATTCCAAATCTACTTCTATTTTTTCTTTTTAAATAAGCCACTATAGATTATACTGATATTATATTTCATATATGAAACAATATTTGATTAAAGAAACCATATATTCTAGACTATTATTTCAAAAGTAAGAATCCTAAGAACACAAGGCTAACAAGATTGTCCTTTTTTTAACGCAATGCATTTTTTTGCGTACAGTGTACTTTAAAAACAGCCACCATGCAGGGATGAAATCTTACAAGATTGTTTCATTATTATAGAAAAAGGCACTCCATTACTCACCACACATGATACAGTCCTCAAATTCTCATGCATGGTTATTTTTTTTTTTTTGCCAAATGCAGCCAACAAAACAGAACATTTAGTATGGGAATTTAAAAAACGGCTTAATTTTTACAAAACTTTTCCAGTCAAATGCGTAAAGGCAGGTTAGAATTTGAGAAACGTGCCTTTAAGATGATCTTCAGTGTGAATCATTTCTGAGAGTGAGCCAATGTTTAGAAGGGCCAAGTGTTCCGACGTTCAAAACATTTCTTGGACAACGTTAGCATTTTTTCTAAACATGTCACAAGTGGTGGAGGATCTATAGGCCCTCATCAAACCTTCTTTGTCCCATATCCACCATAAGCCTTCAATGTAAAGCTTAGTGTTCAAAGTATCCAAGCACAACTTATCATATAATTACTGGATTGCTTGAATCATCCAAAGTAGAAAGATGAAACGGCAGCTACAGACGAGTGATACAAATTGACTTTTGGATTTTGGGTATAAGTCCCAAAACGAGCTGTTTTGAAACTGAAAAGGAAGGGAACATGAATCAAAACAAGCAGTGGGGAGTGGAGAAAAGGTTGAAATATCCGACTACAGACAGATGGTTAGATGGACAGACCAACAGACAGAATCGGACTCATCAGGGAATGGATCGGTGAGAAAGACACTAAGGCTGTGACGCTGTGAAAGACAGCTGGGAAATCAATCAAGTTTCCCAATTTTTCGTCACATCCTTGATACAAGCTTGAGAACGCGTTTAAAAAAAATATTAGCAGGGAAAGGAATTTTTCAGAAAGCACAAACTGAAGTACAGGCACACTAAAATGTTTCTGGACTCCCGGAAAGGGACAAAGATACTCCAAAAATCTGCTGAGAAATCAGCTAATCTGTCAGCTCAACCTACAAGATAACTCTTGCCTTTACGTGAGACTGCTAAATATAAACACCGCCCTCTTGTGATACAACTTATTAAACATACAATAATAACATCAGCCTTATCAAAACAATGCCAGCCAGTCAGAGTCTGGTCTCTTGACTCAACCTTTGAATGTTGACCACCGTGTGTACAGACACCAGACTTCAGACACAAAGTTTAAGCCTACGGTTAGCCAAATGCTTCGCAACAATGAAACATGCAAATAATCAGTCTCTTTTCTTAAAGTTAAACTTACCATTCGATTCTAGACCACAACTGTCACTCTTCTATTTTCCTGCCTCTATATCTAACATTTCCTATTTTGAAACCTGAGCAATTTTCTAAGTTCAACTAAAATTTGTATGTCATGCACTTATATTTACTGTAATTTCCACCACGCACAACCCCCCCCCAAAAAAAACTAACAAAAAATATAATGGGCACAAATTCCCATTGCTTTTTGAATATTTCCATTTTCAAAATTGTGAGTCGGATCTCTGGAAAATAAAGGTTCATTTGATTAGACATGCATGAAATTTTAGAAAATGACAATATTCAGTACCAAAAAGCATGTATTTTTACCAATAAAAAAAAATAACTGAAATAACTTCTGCAGCCGTGCATTCAAACGTTCATCATTACGAAACAGCAGTTATCAATAAGGCTGTATTTGTTTAATTTTTCAATTCAAGAATTCAAAATACTCTGACACCTCTTATTAACACACAAACTAATATTCCAGAAAACAAAAACTCTGTATTAACAAATCTTAAAATTACGAAATCAATATGCAATAGACTTGTTTATAAATTATCTATAATGAGCAGTCTTCCCTTGAGGAAACCAAAAACAATTGCAGCTTTTTCTCCAAACATTCGGTTGAATTTAATATTCTCTAAAACTACAGCGTCAGAAATAATACATCAGTTTTGAGAAGTTTTAATTACAACCCAACCTTTTTTCTTGACAGCTCGAAAAAAATGTCTAGAAAAGCTTGTTTCCCTTTCGCAAGTTGGTTCTTTTCCATGCTGGTAACTTGACGTAAGCTTCGAACTTCATCTTAAAGACTTTCTCAAAGTCAGCAGCGGATAAATAATACTAAACAAAAAGGGGGAAAAAAAAGACACAATCACAACATGACACACAGTGAACATAACAAACAAATGTTGCAATAATAATAAAAAATGTTTCCACAATAATGATAAAAATTGTTTCACTATTTCGAAGTTCATCAAATTCAGAGATGAAACTGGCACATGGCAAAAAAATTGGAAAATAGGCCGAACAAAAATACGTGTCCGAAATCTGGGCCGCACTGCAGTTACACACATGTACATGTACATGTACATGCATGTACAATACACTTCATGCCCAATTTCCGGACACCAACTCCTGCTTTATTTTCGATTCAAACAAAATTTTACGATGAAAAAAAAAAGGTCAGTGTTTTCATTGCATAAAACGCCTGAATAACAGTTAGAGTAATGGAGTCATCAACAAAGAAGTTCACTTCTTACTTGAGAAAGTCGAGGAAAAAGTCTGAAAGACAAGGCACCGTTCATGGTGCTTCAATCATGTCCATGATTCAACCACACAACTCCACTACTTCACTTGCATTCGTACGTGGGGAAAATCAGGCATTATCGTCTTTCTCTTCCAACAAATGCCAGTGAAATGTTTCGCTAATGTTCTCTTCGCTATCCTTGAGATAATCATCATGATTTTTAAAGCATTGCATTTTGTACAACTCAATCTGAAACCTCCGAAAATCGCTCAACATAATTATTTTATCCACTGGATCGTTCACAAGGCTACCCGTTACCGACCAGCCATGTGCTATATTATAGCGGACGGTACGGTGCTGTACGTGCGCTGGTACCATTGCGTACAGTACATGCACGCACGTGCGACACAGTGATTTTTCCATGTCACCTGCCAATGTTTAACCTTTTGTCCAGCCAGAAAAGGCTCCGATCAGTGTTATGCCCTGTGTTTCTACCATTGAAACACTCCAATAACGACTGGTGAAAGAGATTAAAACTACGTTCGCGATGATTTTAACGTGTATCGACTTTTCATCGACTTCTCTTAGAAATTATGATTGAAATAAAATGACATTTTGTGAAAAAAATCGTTACACAAAATCAGATTTTGTGGGACACATAGTAAGAAAATCGGAAATTTCGAAAACCGGAAAATTCAAAAAGTCGGATTTACGATTAAAATCGGAAAAGTTTCATCTCTGCAAATTCTTTAAATCTGGCAATACAAAGAGTGTTCACTATTGAATAAGACATCAAATGAAAAAATCTAGCATGTTTAGTTAGGGAATATTTACTTGAAATTTATTGGTGGCCCAACAGAAGAAACCCAAAATTGCAGATTTTTTTCAGAGGATTACAGACACCCAAAAAATAAACAAAGTAGGGTTTTTTTTCTCATTAGAATAAAGCAAAAAAATTAAAATAAGTTTTTTAAAGTTGAACGAAATTGACTGGAGCAGGGTTTGAACCTGCAACCTCTGGATTGCCATTCCAACTGAGCTATCCAGCCCTTTGTTGATGGTTCTCCAATTTGTCACTGTCTTTGTTCAAGGGGCTCTAACCAGAAATTATAAAATTGTTATGTGAAAAAATATCAATTTGTTGAAGAGCAGGGAAAAAGCAAATTGAATTTTAAAAAAAGGGCTTCTGAGTTTTTTCCAGAGAATATACAGGTCCATCTGTTCATAACAATTTTTTCTTTTACCAAGAAAGGTCAACTAGAAAAATCCCTGATTTTTACAATTTTTAAAGGGCCACTCCTTCACCCATGACAGGTTTCCTGAGGGGCGGGGCTTAACTCCTTACCTCCTTCTTGCTGGAGTCCACACCGTCAGGAAGCTCTTGAGCTTGCAGCTTCTCCAGTGGGTACTTGGGCAGGGAGTTGAAGTCTTCACCATCATCCTTCTTAGGGATCTAGTTGGAAAAGAAGGGGGGAGGGGGTTGAAGAACATTCAAAGTGAACAAAAACTGATATTTACTGACAATTACAATGTATGCTTTCAGATGGAATGTGATGAAAATAAAACTGGTTGAATGTCACATCGAGATTAAGGAAATTAAAGGCGCCGAGTCATATCTGCTCTGTTAAGTTACACTGTAGATTTCAAGAATCATTGGCTGGTTGATCAGGGGTAATAGTCATGTAAGTCTCCACTCTCCAGTGCCAGTTGATCATTAACTTGTTGCAGACAGAATTTAATGAGAGTTGGAAAGAGCTCATTAAAGGCTTCGATGGGAGATTAGATTTAAGGATGATCGGAGGTCATAGTAATGAAGCACTCAGAGCCTTCAGTGCTATTGTATAGCTTCAGTAGAGAACCACAAAAAAAGATCTTAACAAGTCAAAAATTATAAAATTTCCAACGATTTTGTTCGAAAATTTTACTTCGTGTTTTGTGAGACACCCCTCTGGCCATGTCTATGGTATGTGCCTGACATGCGTAATACTAAAAATCTCCATATATGGAGATTGGCACACACGGCGGCGCATACTGCGCAATGTGGCAAAGAATACAGCGGTGTTTTACCGGCGGTTTAAAACCACCCACGTGACGGGCTCTCTACCAATAGGAATGGGTAAAACTGTCTCAGGTATTTATGAATTATACAGTTGAATCTCGTTAGTACAAACTCTGTTAATACAAATTTCTGGTTATAACAAACATAAAGCCTTAGTCCCGACTGTGCATTTATGTGCACAATGAATGGGACTGATGTTCCTCTTAATACAACATTCTGATATAACAAACAATTCGGCTAGGTCCGAACGAGTTTGTATTAACGAGACTCAACTGTAAATAACACACTCATCTTCATACTACACAGGCAGAAATAACTCTTGCCTACACCTGTCACCTTTGGCCTATGAACTAGACTTTTAACCAATCTGGCGACCACAAAAAGAAGACAGTACCGGGGTGGCACTTTCACACCTGCCAAATTAGTTCTCAAATTTGAAAAATCAACAAAATTTTTGACCCTCAGATCAAAAACTAGTGAGAAATCCTAAAGAGGCAAGGCAATTCAAGTAAGTTTTTTCAATCAATGCGATATTTTCTGCTCTTTTGACTTCATGATATGTTTCTCTCAACAAATCAAAAATTGGGAAGAGAGACACTTTATTTTGATGCAGTTGTCATAGAAACCTACCTCATCAATTCTCACCATGACGGGAGCCGACTGCGGGGTTAGAGTTAACAAACACCAACAAACAGATGCAGAACAAAAAAAGAGGATTAATAGAACAAGCAAAAACACAATGCAAAACAGAAGTTAGAAAAGCGGGCTGCGGGGAAAGGTTAAAAAAGCAATGTTAAACGTAAGAAAGAACCCTCGAATGGTTTCTTACATTTTCCTGAGAACCAAAGATTGTGCCTAAAATATTGATCTGATTGATAAAAAATTAATTGTAAGAAAAAAAAACAAGAAAGAAAAAAGGGGAAAGCAACACTAAATCAAACGTATCATTAAAAATAATCAAAATGTGATTTCAGCTTCAATTTTTTTTTTTTTTTTTTTAAAGTGTTAAATCAATTTTGATTCTGGCTTTTTAAAATCATCCACAAAACAAGTGAATAATTTTTCAAATCCAAGCTTATGACCTCTGGAAAAACATCTCCCCTGTGAAGTTTCAGGCAAAGTTAATGAATGCACTGCAGTGTGTTCAATTTTATGCATGAACCTAAAGTTTTTGAGGAAAAATTTCAGGCAACATCTCAATTATACATTAATTCACTACCCTGGCAGCATGACAACGTCAATCTTGAGTTATACAACCATGCATCGGGTAAACAATTAAACATGCGTCCAATAAGTCACAATATTCTATGGTATTCTGATGTCTCTACTAATGATCAAAACTATGACAAGCTGTGATGCCTTGAGCAATTTTTAACGTTATGGTTTGTCTGATGACATGAACAGATTGACTACTATAATACGGATAACGTCCACGAAGCAAAAATGAAAATGGGCAACTCCACTCCACAAGTGGAAATGGCTGAAAAGTGGAACATTTATGAAATCTTCAGAACTACAAGTGTCACAACCTCCAAATGAAAGGGGAAAAGACCTTTCATTTGAGTGGTGTGCCAGTGAAATGGAATACATGGTCAAATGTACTTTTTGTGACAAAATTGGATTAGGAGCTGAAATAATGGATTTTAGGAAGTCCTTTTGGCGACTTGTTTTCACATGCAAAATGCAAGTGTTATTGTGAGTTTGTGTTTTTAAGGCAGAGAGAAAGATTCACAGTCTATGCCAAAGGAGGTTTTTGTATTATTATAAGTTTCTTACATGTTTTTAACTTGTACCAAAGATGGGCAGAAAGACCGCAACGCGAGTTACCATAACGCGAGTTACTGTAACGCGAGTTACCGAAATATATATCCCCCTAGAGATCTCATGATTGGTTATGGTTTATGACTTACATCCTAATTATGTAAGGACACTGAAAAGGATTCTTGAAACAGTGCACAGTATGAAGAAAGTTCCAAATGCAAGATATTTCAATGTTTGCGAGGTGTCCTTTTTTGTGACGCAAGCTACTGATAAAAAACTTATTGCCAAACCAACAGAAAGTTATTTTGTTGGCCTCTTTTCTGTAGTTTAGTTGCTTAACTTCTGGGGATCTTCTGTGAGAAAAAAAAAACCTAAATGCTCTGACTTTATAGAATAACAGCACAGAGTTGACTGAAGACCCCCGTTAAATGTAACACAAGTTACCATGGAATTGCCCAAATACTAACGCATGAACAAATGGGTTTAATAGCCTCAACGTTATATCGATATCACTTGACGTGAACTCCTCTTGACATGTTCACCCCTTTGACTTACAAAAAACATTCATGGAAAAAGGACGGGGAAGACAAGCAGAAGTAAGATTAGAATTTTGGCGGAGAGAAATTACAGAAACATGTAACAGATATGATAGGTCAGAACCATGGCATGCATTATGATTCAACAAAGTATTAGCAACATGGACACAGCGACACAAATTACATTCACAAAAGCCATTAGATGGAAAGAATTCCGAGTGCAAAGATATGACGAAAGCTACAGTACAGTACACACATGGTGGTGTCTTGAAGTCTTACCTTGCAATCTACAGAATGACTCCATTCTAGATGATGACATGCACCAAATCACTCTCACATGACACAAATTCTCAAAAATCGATAGTTTCTAGCAAATGATATTTAATGGATCACAGCAATGAAACTTTCCAAAAACTACCTGGGATGTTGCCTCGTGCTCAACTGCCCTGACGAAGGGAGTTGGTGATGGCTCATCTCTTTTCACATTATGTGAAGCGTTCTGGCAAAATGGCACAGAACTGGGCAGAGTTTGTGGACATTAGGAAAGGGAATAAAATTCTCCTCACAATGCTGTTTGTTGCACTTCAATCGGACATTCCGTTCACAAGTTATGACAGTTCAAAGTTCGCATATATCGACATGTCAAAAAAGCAAAGTGAGAAAAAGGCCTTTGAGCCTTTGAATGTTTTCTAGCCGTGATAATGAAGATGGAAATTGTTTTTCCCTAAAAACACTTTTATTCCCAATTTTCACACTGTTTCTTTAAAATATGTGAAGTCGACGTACCAACAATCAAAAATATCAATAAATCTGAAATTTAAAAAAAAAAAATCTTTTTTTTGGCATTATCCCCCGCTACGGCCCGTGCCCAGTTCTGTCGCATTTTGCCAAAATGCCTCACATAATTGTGAAGAAAATGCAAAGCATTGTGGGTAGTTCACCACGACGATCAATGCATGTGCCGTCTGCGCAGCATTGCTAACCCTTGGTCATTGATTGGACAAAAAAATTATCCAATCAGAGCTCAAAGAAACTAGCCATCACCGGCAGCCTTGGAAAAGGAGAGTGAGCACAAATGAACGAGTGTGTCTGAAGCCTGACAAATGAGGGCGCTGTTCAACTGATGGATGACTACCAGAGAGCCCGTGAATCGGGCCGATGATGCGATAACTTTTTTGTCCAATATCTTACCGCGATAGCAATCTTCTCGTTGTCCTTCTTAGCCTGTGCCTTCATGTCGTCCAGGTTAGGCAGCTCCTGTTGTAACAAAGAAAAATCCCACATTTCAATTATGAAGAATTCGCTTGGACAATCCTCACAGCATACCAGGCTTTGTCCAATATAATTTCAGGCAGTTGTTTAAATAACAGTTTTGGTAAGCTGTAAAGGACAATACAGAGCATGCTTACTTTGATTGAAGACGCAGAATTTGCTCAAAATAATGAGATGATAGTTCTTGTTTAAATGCACATAGCATCAGTACGTCCAGGCCCTGAAACATGCTTAATGGTTAAGAACATTGTTTCTGTCGTTAGCACAACTTTGCTGCTAACCGTTAATTAGCTCCATTACATTTGGAGGGCGATGCAAAAGAAAATCAAAGTAAAGAATGTCATGAGCAGTGAAAGAAGATACGAGATGCTGCCAAGACCGAAACTAACAAAATAATACATTAGAGTAGACTTATGCAGCTTGTCAGTGATGAATGAAAAGTTTCAATAAACATCAAAAGTTGACTAACTCTTTAATAAACTCCCTACTTAGTTGTATAGATGACCATGTCCGTCAAAATCCATCACTCAGTTTACTTCACACAATGCTTCAGGACCAAATCCGCTGAAACATCACTGGTGCTGGTGGATTTTGATGGACTTAGTACAAAATGGCTTATCTGCCAAAATCCGTCGAAATGGGGGATGGATTTTGATCGAGTTGGTAAGGTTGGGGTAGGAGTAAACAGAACATAAACAAAATAAAGTCTGTCATGAATTAGACTTATGAATGATACACATTTTTCCAGGTTTTGAATTAGCCACAAGCGAAGTATTTAAATCAAAGATGATATTATTGAAAAATAAACCTGTCATGTTATCCCCTCAGGGTTTTGGATGTAACTCAGTTTTGAGAAATTGTTGTTAAATTAAAGACAAATGACTGAAGTTGATTTTTTCTTGCATTTTATTTGTTAATATCACTCAATGCAAAAGGAATTAGTCAAGCATGCATGCATTGCATTCTGCTGTTATCGACATGCTTGAGATACTTAGTAGTGCTGCGGCTGATTTCAAGAGACTTTACATTATTGCGCGAGTCCACTTGCGCCTCAATTTATTACGTAACTTGCACAACACTTCACGCTGCGCAACATCTTTATGACAATTTCACGGAAGTTTCATTGTGTGTAACAAATTATGGCGTAACTTGCCCAATCATTTTGGGCGGCGTAAGTTGTGGCGTAGCGACTGAAAATTATATATTTTACCAGCAAATCGTGATCGTCGTAGAGCCTGTCATTGCACAACTTATCAAGGTTGATACAAGACACTCACAGCTTTGTGTTTGAGGTAAATGAATAGCTATTTTACTTGTGACAGAATTTTTAGATTCCGAAGATAGGACAAAACTATTTTCAAAGTGGCGGGCGGAGGTGATTCAACGACTGTTTCATGAACTATATTTTATAAGGTCGCGCAGCTATGCCAAGTTTCGTTAAATCAGTCGTAAGTTTATTGCACAGCTGTGCAATAAATTTGTTGCTGAAGTCTTTCCCATGGCGTTTTGTGAAATTGGCTGCTGATTTCTGAACCACTCGACCAACAAGCTTGTCAGGGTCAGCTCAGCAGTCAAGTTGTTAAGATGGCTGCTCTAGTAACCAAGAGGTGGTGGGTTCAAGTCCCACCAGGGTATGCCTGTGGATCTAAGCCAGTACTGTTTATGGCATTGAACAGCAACCTAATTTTAAACTCTACAACTTCTTGATACAAAAATTTAATCCAAAACTTATTTGTGAGATACTTTGGGGGAGTCAGGTTGGCGTAGCGGTACTTTCCTCGCCTTCCACCGCTGTGACCCGGGTTCGAATACCGCCTGGGCCAATATGTGGATTGGGATTTCAGTCCCTACCTGATTCCGTAGGTTTTCCTCAGAATATTCTTCAGGGGTTTTCCTCCCACCTCTGAAACTGTAACTTCTTCTCATTGTCTTCTCTCTACAGGTTTCTTCAAGCTTGCGAGCTACGGTGCCTAGGGCACTTTTGAGGAATCCTTGGTTTCATTACCAAAAATAAATTATAATAATTATAATAGTAATACTCTATTAGTCCATGCATTCCCTATGCATTTTGCAAAGCAACAATTAACTTTTCATTTTATGTACGTTCCTTCGGTATGTTTTTTATATTTGAAGCAATTCTGAAAGTAAAACTTATGTTTGGTGTGATGCCGCTGTCAAGTAAAATTCTTTAAAAGAAAGTCAATTTCTGGCAACTTTTAATGACCCCTCATGGACCTAAAATAAATTAATAAAATAAGTATCAGTAATGTCGACCATGGTACCATGCCTTGCCGATGCATCAAATGCAACAGAAATGCTCTACAACGGATTCCTTACATGTCGGGTGCTCCGAAGGGCGGTATATTCTCTTTCCAGTCCCTTTCAGGAATACATTGTTAGATTTTAGTGTTATTAAGAAGGATCTGGATCAATTTTAGAGGGCAGGGTAAGGGTTGGCATTGTCTTGCTTCAGGGTACATGTATCTGTGTCTCATTCATAAGAATACATGATTAACAGGGGGGGAAATACAGCAATCACTGACATAGTTTTAAACGTCTTTTCTTGGACATAAAGAGTTGCTATATGGACAGGAGTTGTGCCGTGCATGGGGGTGGGGTTGGGGTTGGGGGTGGGGTCGGGGGTGGGGCGGGAAGGGGGGGTGAGGGTGAGGATGGGGGTGGGGGTGGGGGTGGAGGATGGGGAGGGTTGGGGGTTGGGAGGGGTCGGGGTGGAGAGGGGTGGGAGGCTGGGAGCAGGGGCGGTGGGGGGGGGGGGGAGTGGACGGGGAGAATAGGGGAAGGTGGGGTGGCAGTGGTTGGGCAGCCATATCTTGAAGGGGGAGGGGCTTTCTGAAGGATACAGCTGATAACAAGGGGTGTAAGGAACAAAATCATGGTCCTTTTTCCACACTCCTTTTTTAGGAACAAGAGTTATATTTTGAGGGGAAAACAGGACATAGCAAAGCCGAGGCTGGAAGGGAAGGGGACTTTGCTTTACCTTGAAGTAGTTGGGGTTCCAGGCATGGAAGTGACCAGTGAAATGCAACGGCTCGTTGCCTTCCTGGATCTTAATCAACGATGTAGCATCCACGTCTCGGCCACTAGGATCAGATAAAATGTATTCCTGAAGAAAAGAGACAAAGCAGAGCATCAACTAAATCCAAAACTGTTTTGTGGTAAAGTTTTTGAAACCATGACAGGTACTAAACAGGACAGGAACTCAAAAACTACATTCTGGGATGGGATAAAGGGTGTGCTCGATTAGCTTACCCGGGTCGACTCGGTTTAGCCAGGACAGCCGGGCTAATCTGTCCAGCCGCAATTTTTTTCCCATTTCTTGGATTCAACAACACATGCGTCTGACATATTTCCACCACTGACTCTGCTCCATGAGCAGGGTTTGTGGTGTCTGACCTGTGTAAGCCCCGAGAATGACGTCAGAGCTAATCCAACGGCACAGGGCTAACCCGAGTCGACCCGGGTACCACTGTAGCAGGTCTTGTTGCCATAGTGATCAATCCCAACATGCATTGTCACTGTCATTACATACTACGTCTTTTACATGAACCTTTTTAAAAAGTCTTTGTTCATGATTTTTTTTTGGGGGGGGTTCAGTGTGTTTTAAAAACCAAATGCTAAGGAAGGGTCAAGTACTGTGAAACTGGCTGCTGGTTCCTAGACTTACCTGTGCAATCTTGATGGCTTCTTTCTTCTCCACCTCATTGGCACCAGACCCAATCCACACAAACACCTACACAACAACAAAGTGTTCAAAAAGAGAAAAATAAGTCTGACGTCCAACTTTTTTCCCACTATGCTTACTCTTCAAATATATTTCGTTAAAACTATTATCACACCTTGTGAAACTTCTTGAAACTAAATGTAAATTAAATCAACCCAACCAATCTGGTTTTGCAATATTCTGTCGAATTAATTACTGACAGCCTAACCGTTAAATGTATGGTTTAAAACCGGTTAGGGGACTGGCTACCAGTAATGGCCTGAGCCAAAAAAAAACAAGGGCGACCAGGCCCCTAACGGTTTTAAACATCACATTTATTATCCCTATTCAGAAATACAGTTCGGCTGTAGTGGTGTGCAGCGCATACTGCACGCATGTTGCGCGGAGCGCAGTGTCTTGCGACTGGTTTTAAGCATCACTGACCAGTGTTTAAACGGCAGTTTAAGACCACTCATGTGACAGACTCTCATCCGATTGGAATAGCTAACTATTCAAGGTATTTATGAATGAACAGGGTGAGTCAAAAAGAAAGGGACCTTTGAAAAGCAGTCAGATTTGATACACCAATAAAGTATGTCTTAAAAGATCATGTACTTCCACATATCTGGGAAAAAAACAGAATTACTGAAATTGTATCAGAAGTTATGCATGTTTTACTACAAGAACCACATGTTATAGCTGTCCATGGAATGCCATTGGAAGCTATTGAGCTAAGTGAGAAGTACAGATTACACACAGGCATTCAAATACATTTCGATAATTTTGAGTCATAACGGAAACATTTTTGCTGTCAGATTTTGAGTTTTGAATAGGAGGAACAAGTCAACTCTTTTTTTCCCCTGAAATATATACGGCGATTTCTGTCTGGTTTTCTTTCCAAGTTTTTGTTTATTCATGGAGATGGGAAAACATCCATGTTTCATTGCATTTCATGGGTATTCATCAGCTTGTAGAACGGTAAATGATCAGTGGTGGACAGCTGAATTTTGTCATCTTTAAATCAAAATAGACATAACTTGGGAATAGAGTATGCAAATTATACGAAATTTTCACAGTAACTAGTCAATAACATGTTCTTTATCCCTATATTATTTTACAAAATGGAGTGAGCCACATATTTTTTTTGAATACTTTTTTAAATTTGGTCACTTTCTTTTTGACTTACCCTGTATGTTCACATTGGGGCATGTTGGCAAGTAGAAAGAATGCACACGTGATTTTTTGGATAGTGAGTTTTTTGGGAATCAAGGTTTCTATAAAAAATTGCCAAGAGAATTGCAATTAATACGAAAATTAAGCATTCAAATTCCCCTAGTTTGTTATTTTCGAAAATTACCGATCATTTTTATCGTGCATCATCAGTATCATCTGTATTATTCAGCGGGATACGAAATATATAAATAAATTTTAAAAGGTTTCACGGGGGCAGGTTTGATATATCTCAAGATAAAATCTTACCGTGTGATAGGCATCCAGCAACATGACGTCGTCTTGAACCATGTCTTCTTGTGTGAACTCGTTAATCTCCTCGACCTTGAAGTTACCAGCGGCGTTGGAGCATTGGAACAGGCGAGGGGGGAAGTCAGGCGCTTCACTCTGAGAGGAGAAAATGAAAGGTCATCTACAAGTTGAAGGTCATCTACAAGTTAAAGGTCTTCTACAAGTGGCTGCTTAAAGTTGCATTCCCACCAAGTGCAATTTTCGAATTTCATCCGGAAAATAGATTCCTTTTCTAAATTGTTATTTTTCTTGCAATACTTTTGTACTACTAGAAAAACAGCAATTTTGAATAAGACATCAAATTTTGAATTAAGCCCGCTGCACACCTTTCTGATTTTACCAGATCATTGGGCTGGAGAGTTGTGCACTGAAAAATCAAACCGATCTGACCGAACACCGGGCGATTGGATGAAATCAAACATGTTTGATTTTTTTCGCAGCCGATTTCACAGGATCCCATGTCACCGGAAAAGTATGCGGGCAGCAGTGGATGCAATATTTGTGTTAACCAATCAGATTCACCAAGGAAGTCACATGATTCAACATTGACGGAATCGAGCATGTGTACGGGTCAACGTTGTGGTCTCCGCAATGGTGAAAAAGCTGTTTGTGCAGTGACTCTCTGTGTGACAAAGTTTCTATAGCACCTGATAACCCTTCCCCTGAAACTGACCAGCAGGATTTTGAAGGGTTTTACACATAGTATTGATTGCCCACAAGAAGGGTTAATGTTGTTTTTGGAATAACTTAAAACTTTACTACTTATGAGTAACAATGTAACTTTTGCTTCAATTTTAGCCCTCGACGCAAACCTGCCAACTCCATCAGAAGCAATTTTGAAAAAGACACAGAAACAAAAGTGATTTGCTCAGGTTGAAAGTCAGGTCCTCTAAATTTTGACAAGTCAAAGTGACAAAGGCATTACTTAGGCCAAGTTCGCGCAAGGACTATAGTTGACCATTGGTTAACTAACGTTTGCCCGAACTCTGTCTAGTCGACGGTGGTTGACTACGCTAGTCGACTATTTGGAACCAGCCTACTGGGGTTGGTTGCTTTGCTGGTAACCAATAGCCGCGCGCATTCATAACGCTAGCAGAGAGCCAGGATCCAGAAGTTTTGCGATGACATTTTGACCAGCGTTTGACTAGAGACGTTCACATGTTGCTATCAGTGCGCAGGCGTAAGGTACGTCACAAATCAACCACTAGTCGACTAATGGTCCTTGCCCGAACTTGGCCTAAGTCGTTCATCCCCTACGCCACCTGTCCATAGGCATGTTTTTCAGGGGTTTTTTTGTGACTTTTAAATAGAGCTACCTAAAAAACTAAAGGTCGAATTAAGCAAAAGATGCAGAACTGACTGAAAAATGTCACTGACTCGTGACTTAAGCACAACTCTGGAGGAGTACGGGGGAGAGAAGCACCCAAAGCATACCTCAAAGGCCTTGGTGTTTGCATAAGCCGCCTTGCCTCCCAATGCACTCCAGACGGCTGTGGGTTCCTGTCCCTCTGGCACCATGGTGTAATCTGACGCCCTAAAAATGAAACAAGAAATCACAAAGTATTTCAAACTTTGAAACTCAGAATGCTCTTCACTTTTGCCTACCACTTAAAACTTGATGTGGTTCAATGGTGAAGGTGTTCGACTCGTGTGCCATGGTAAAATAAAATAATACAATGTGCATGGGATCGAACCATGGTGGGGAACATGGTGCTTGTGTTCTTGGGCAATCCACTTTACTAAATGGGTACCAGTGAAGGTGAAGACCAGATTGAACTGATCTCGAGCTGCTGCAGAAAACTGTTCTCATGAACAGGGGTTTTAGTTGCGAAGCGCTTTGAGACCTTCATTGGAATAAGTTATTACACTATCGGTCAATTTTTGTTACATTATCGGTTAGGACCGATAGTGTTACCACAATTGACTGATAGTGTAGTACATTTTTCTACACTATCGGTCAATATTTGTTACATTATCGGTTAGTGATACAATATCGGTCAATTTGTATGACATTATCGGTCGGTGATACGTTATCCATTGGTTACTACCGGTACATCATCAGTTGTTACACAGCCTCTGGAATTCCAGATTTCAAAAAGAGATTCTTTAAAATTCCTGAAATCAGGGAAAAATCCTTACAAAATCCTGAATTCACAAAAAGAAATCCTGTCCAATAATCCGGAAATCAGGAAAAAATCCTGACCAAAATCCTGAATTCACATAAAGAAATCCTGTCTAATAATCCTGAAATCAGGAAAAATCCTCAAAAAAATCCTGAATTCAGAAAAAGAAATCCTGTCCAATAATCCGGAAATCAGGAAAAATCCTGAAAAAAATCCTGAATTCAGAAAAAGAACTCCTGTCCAATTATCCTGAAATCAGGAAAAATCCTGAAAAAAATCCTGAATTCAGAAAAAGAAATCCTGTCCAATAATCCTGAAATCAGGAAAAATCCTGAAAAAATCCTGAATTAAGAAAAAGAAATCCTGTCCAATAATCCGGAAATAAGGAAAATTCCTGAAAAAAATCCTGAATTCAGAAAAAGAAATCCTGTCCAATAATCCAGAAATCAGGAAAAATCCTGAAAAAAATCCTGAATTCAGAAAAAAATATCCTGTCCAATAATCCAGAAATCAGGAAAAATCCTGAATTCACACAAAGAAATCCTGTCTAATAATCCTGAAATCAGGAAAAATCCTGAAAAAAATCCTGAATTCAGAAAAAGAAATCCTTTCCAATTATCCTGAAATCAGGAAAAATCCTGAAAAAAATCCTGAATTCAGAAAAAGAAATCCTGTCCAATAATCCGGAAATCAGGAAAAATCCTGAAAAAATCCTGAATTCAGAAAAAGAAATCCTGTCCAATAATCCGGAAATCAGGAAAAATCCTGAAAAAAATCCTGAATTCAGAAAAAGAAATCCTGTCCAATAATCCGGAAATCAGGAAAAATCCTCACAAAAATCCTGAATTCACAAAAAGAAAAATCCTGTCCAATAATCCGGAAATCAGGAAAAATCCTGAACAAAATCCTGAATTCAGAAAAAAAAATCCCGTCCAATTATCCCGAAATCAGGAAAAATCTGTCATAGTTGCATGAAATGAACAGGTATGGACGGTAAACATTGGATGGTTGAAGTGCAAGGAATAAGACCATCATCCTCTGGCCTACCTGCCAGCTAGTGTCTTGGCCACAGCCTTGGCTAGTTCTCGTTCATCACCACTGCCTCCCTGTTTAAAAACAAATAAACTATTTTAATTGATTTTGCCAGAAACAGGGTTTCCACAGGAATCTTAAAATGAAATTCCACGACTTTCCCGTGACTTTTCAAGGCCAAATTAGGGCTTTCCACCACCAATTCCTACACTTTTCTTGCATTTTAGGAGCTAATTTACGATAACTGGCCGGTCATAACGCTGAAAATGAAGGTCTATGCAATGTGCATTACCATCAACAAAATGGCCTCCACTACCACTCACGGCCATCTGATCATCCAATATTTTTTAGTTAAACTTAATGTACATGTCACGAACACTTATAAGGTATCCTGCAGGCTTTCAAGCAGACCCAGGTGAAAAAGCAGAACAGTAGAATCAAAATGTTCCCCCAAAAAAGTAGGACTTCGGAGGACAAAATCAGGATAAAAGTAAGGCTTTCAGTACTTTTTGTTGATAGTCATCCATGGCATGTTCTACACTCACAACACTTGCGCTCCATCCTCAACTAAGCTCTTGGAAATACAGTTGTATTCCTGTGCCCAAACCTTCATTGTCTGCTTTACATACGACAGTGTGTAACACTGTTATGAAAAATATTGCGATGACATTTCATATTTCGGAATTGTGGGACAAAAAGTAGGAAAAAGTAGGAATTTCAAAAAAAGTAGGAAAGGTAAGAGCAAGGCACAAAAAAAAACTAGGAAAAAGTAGGAAAAGTAGGAATACTTGAAAGCCTATATCGTGTCACTGTCTTCCTAATGTAAAGTGAAAGACTGGCCTAACCAAATGTGACCCACCATCAAGTGTGGTTTATACAGGATTCCGTGACTTTTCCATGACTTTTCCTTTAAACCTCGACTTTCCGTGACTCCTTGTAAAACAACAAAATTCCATAACTTTCCATGATAGCTTTCAATTCTGGGATGTTCCAGGAGTTTTCCACGACTGTGGCAACTCTGCCAAAATTCCGATTTTACAATTTCTCAGTAAAACAGCTTTTTAGGAAAGGGAGTTTTTTTTTTTTTCTCCATGCCTGGCACGATACTGTCTCAATGTCCCAGACAAGCTGAATAAGTGGGTTGGGAACTTCAGACAGGCAAATGCTTACCTTACCACACCACAGATAGGTCTCATTGGGCATCTTGAGAATAAACACATCGTTGGAGTTGAGAGAACTTGCTCTGGCTGGAACCTTCAACAGAAGAAAGAAGTGAACAACGGTTGGTATCAAAAAAATCTGATGATTAATGTCATGTTGATGGCAAATTATGTCTCGCATGTGACAGGTCACATGTCACCCAGGTCTGGGTTGAAGAAATTATCAAAGAAGTCTTCATTTTACAGAGTATAAAACGTTTTGCAGCAAAGGAAACAATGATCTATTTGGCCACTGTATATGGTCAACAAATGAGGTGTGTATATTTTGTACTTTTGAAGGCAAGTCACTTTAATGTGGCCAACTTTGACTAATTTTGAAGATAATGTGCATTTTTAAACAATCTTGCTTTCAGCAGAGGGGGAGGGGCAGCTGTTTAACTGTTATTTTTCACGGTTGCAACTCTACTACTTATTACATTTTTGAGTTGTAGATTGTTTCAGATGTATATAATCTTCAAAAATAGTCCATGTTTGCCACCTCAATGTGACTGTTTTTTTAAGATTCAAGTTTAGCAGGACTTTGAAGGCTAGAAGGCAAATCTAAGAATTTGTTTCATACTTCTCATCAGCTAAAACAATTACAGGAATTCCCAGTTTTGCCAGACTATTCAGAAGAACACTAGAATGATGCAGACGTCTTTGTGCAATGGCCTTCTCAGCTTCATCGCACTCACCTCGATGGCCTTAGTGTTGAGCTCATTTGTCCCTCTGACTTGGTACAGTCTTGCCGTGGCCTCCGCCTTGTCTTGCTCTTGACGATTCTTGAAACCGCTGGCCTTGCCTCCCTGAGGGAAATAAGGAGTGTCTCAAACAGGTGAAGAAAATTGCCACCAAAAAGGTAATTGTAGAAAACTGAAACAATGACAGGAAAGGATTAATGAGATATCCCCCCCCCCCAAAAAAAAAATAATAATAATAATAACTGTATTTATATAGCGCTTTTTGCCAGAGGATACAAAGCGCTGGGGAGAATGCAACCAAAGCCAGGTAAATGAAGTACATGAACATATGAGACCCATTATGTAGCACCTTCTTTTTTTTTTGCTAGGTGCTGCGGCGCATAATTGCTGTCACTGCCAGAAACACCGGGGCAAACCCCTTCTCTTAGCGACAAGTGTTACTGGGTTCTTTAACGTGCATTACACAACACACGGGACCTATGGCTTTACGTCCCATCCGAAGGACGAAGCAATAATGGTAAAGTGCCTTGCTCAAGAGCACAAGCACCATGTTCCCACGGTCAGGATTCGAACCCGTGTACCACGGCAAAACTTTCATAAAGATGAAACAAAGTAATGGTGGCCTAGGTCAACAATCAAAACACTTTAAAAATTTAATTATTAACTTGATTTTAGAGAAGGAAGCATAAAGAAAAGAACATTTTTACAACTAAAATACCTTAATACAATTTTTCAGGTTTTTTTCAGGTTAACAATGGAATGATGGTTAGAAAAAGTTTTGGGTGAAGCATGATTTATTTTTTTTCTAAGGCTGATTAAACATGTAGATTTTTGCACAAGGGCAATTCCAAGGTTACTCAAGTTACATTTGATGTACTTTTGAGTTTCCTTGGGCTGTAATTACTGAAAAGGTTTAATAACTGTTATCCCCATGGTAGATAGAGTAGACCTAGACCTACCTAAGCACCAAAGATGACATCCAGAAAAATGTGTTATGTATGATAAACAAGACGCACAAAATCAGTTACTCACGTTACAGTTTGGTAACGTGAGTAACCGATTGTTTTTTTTTTACAGATGTTTATTTGAAAGAACAAACTACAGATATGTACATACCAAGTGGATGATCATCTTGCCCTTGAAGATCATCTGGAAGTGCCGAGGCTCCTTGTTCTGCACCACACGCACCTGGACCGGGGCCCCGCCCATAGAGTCATCCAGCTTCTGGGCGTGGATGGCCGACGACGCCTTCTCATCTTGAGAAGACTCTTGGCCCTGTTGGAGACGGGGGAGTGGTGGGAGGAGTTTCAAGTAAAGATCATGAATGTCTTAATAATCACAAGTGGTCTTGAAGACAGCTGACAAATCTGTTTATTAGACCTGGTCTTCAAATTTACTGGTTACCTTTTTGTCCTCCTAATCCGACCACTAACTTCCACTCATACTATATATTCAATATTCAATTTATAACAAACACATTATGAAAATTATTAACCCTAATGATGATAGGGACCAAAACGACACTTATCAATCATCAATGATTTTCATCAATATCAGGTTATTACAATTGTAAACACGATATAATCATGATCATAATAATCAGACACACGTCCTTCAGTGTAGTCATATTGAAAATGCTTTCCCCCTTAAAAAGTTGAAATAAAAAACAAAAACAAACAAACAAACAAAAGTGGCAATACTGAGGGACACACAAGCACCATTACTACCAGTATGAACAGGTTTACATACATTGTACCCTGTCCTCACGCACAATTCTTACAGTCTTATGAAGTTTGCATGTGAACGGTGAAAGATCTGCCATTTTGGACGTCTAGCACGGCGCTTGATCGATTGAACGTACAGTACATGTACAATGAAATATGATTGATTGCATAGATCATCTTTGGATGGAATTTTCTCCAAAAAGTCACTGGTTAAACCCCAAAAACAAATGAGCAGAGAATGAAAGATGATGAAATAAACGTTAATTTCAGGTGTGTCTCAAACACCTTGAAGAGTTGTGAGTATTTTTCCTGAATTTCGGAAGTCGGTGAATTCACGACTGGGGTCTATGGCAGTTTATTTACTAGTCTGCAACCGTAGACGTTTAATATGGTGGGCGTGTGGGAGACCACTGACCTGTGACCTCAAGTGACATTCCTCAATAATCACTAGATCTCAATTGCATCTATGATCACGCTCTTACTCGTTAAGTCACTGAAAAGGCTGTAAACAAGTAGCTGCATAGAAGTAAAAGTAGAAGTTACTGACCTGCCAGAAGAAGATGATATACTGCTCTCTGCCACGGACCTTATACGTGTACAGGATCACGTAGCTATCACCACCAAAGAACTGACCATACAGGCTGGCTTCCAACTCCACCATTTCAAAATCCTCGATACGCCAAATCTGCCGAGGACAAAAAAGGAGGTTCAAGCAGAATACCAACATTTTCATAAAATCCCCGACACAAGGTTCGATTTTAGTTAGGCAGGCAACTGGCAATTTAGGAAAAAAATGAGGAAACTCCAAACCACACAAGACTTTGTACAGTATTTTTTTAATTTGTAATGGCATTCATGAGAAGTAATACAACAAGGAAATCAGTGGATCTGAGGAAAAGTTGCATACTTGTTGAGTGTGGAACAAACAATTCTCAGCCAATCATGGGAACATTTTCTACCACTGCTCATTATAAAGAAATGCCAAATTGAAAAAATAAAAGGAAGGCTATACACATTGTGAAAAACAACGACTTGATTCATCATTACCACATGTATACATTTAAGCTGTTACTTCCAAACCCAAACCAGCCCAACATTCACAGTACACTCTCTCAACTTAATAGGCCCATGAAAAAGTAACACGTTTCTTGAGAATCTTTCAGACAAAAGTTTATGCATACAACCTTTATGCAGAGAAACTGTAGACCTCTAACTTAATGATTAAATCCCATATGCTTTTATTCTATCTCAGTATTGTATTTGTGTATATGTGTAGTCATTTGTAAGTGTATGCAGGGCCCCCAATGGAAACCAGTTTTAAACTGTTTGGGCACACCCTGGGGAAACAAATGTAATAAATACATAAATAATTTATTATTCTTAACTCTAACCTTGAGTGACTTACTAAGAACCTTCCTCACTCTTACAAAGAACCTTCTAACAAACTCAACACGCAGACTGTTGGACTCTGATTATGGTGGTATGCCTAAACTCCATGTAAAAGCATAATCAGTTTACCAGTGCAGTCCTCACTCCAACAGATCCCAACAAAACATGCAGTTGGATTTTGATGGGTCGGGGGGTTAAAAAAAAAAATGAACCAAGCAAGCCTCAAATATCGTTTATAACATACACACGATTTTAATAAGAAAAAGATCTTCAGTGTTGAAGATCAGTGTCAAACATTTACAGAAAATTTAAACAAAGAATGAAAAAATGAAGAAAGTCAAAACAACTCCACCACTCGTCATCCACTCAAAGTGAACTGAGACAAGGATATTCCTCCTATTTTTCCACCGTTCCTGTTGACTGGAAATAAACTTTAGATTTGATTTTTTTATGGAATTGACTTTTGTGGAAAATTAAACAAGTAGTTTTTACCTTGACAGCACCGGTTCCATCATCAGGCATACCATGTGCCGCAGCCAGGGATGGGTCTGCCTCAAAGTCACAGGTACTCTTTTTGTGCAGGGTGGTGGCGTCAAATTTCTTGTAGTCAATCTTGGCTGAATTGTTTATATGAGAGCAAAAGGAAAACCAAGCGGTCAGAAAAATACCTGAAAACATAAGCAATGTTTGTTTTGTGGTGGTGTTTTTTTAATGGACTTTAGTTTTATGGAAAATTGGTGGGAGGGGGACCCTGATTGTTATGTTTCTGTCCTTGCTTAACCATTCCATTCAAAATTAGCATATCCAGATTAAACCGGTATGAACTGGTTTGGCTTGGTTTAAACAAGCCAGCCTACAGGGACTGACCAGCTTTGCTCAGTTTGGTTGTAAAAGATAGCAGCAATAGATGGACTTAACCAGTTAACAAGTCTTGCCTAGCAAGTCTTGCTTAAAACTGGGCAAATTTAGGACTCTCGATACTGTGTGTGAGATCAATCTCAGGTGCAAATTGTTGAAGAAAAGTCTCCTTTAACCCCAACTCCCTAGGCCTTTTTGCTAGGATGTAGCCTCAATCCTGCAAAATCCTCCAATTGGCCTCATGGAAAAATAGCATATAGTCTCAATCCTGCAAATTCCTCCATTATTTCTTGAATAGGGTCCATGGAGGGGTGACCACTGCCTGAATCCTGCAAAATCCTGTGGCAGTGACTGTCAATACGTTAAAGCTTGGCCAGTGACATCCTGGAGCAGTACAGAGGATTTCAAGCATAATCCAGGCCTATATTTATCATGGCTGAGCAAAAACAACACAAGGTCCAGCCCAAGACCTTGACAAAGTGCATCCTACGAAATCAGTAACCTACTTTTGCCATGTAACCTCAATCGTCCAAATTCCTCCACTTTGGCAAAGAGGATTTTGAAGGATTCAGGGCGGTTAGGGTTGAAAGTTGAATTGAGACCTCAAACTTGGCTGGTGAAATGCTGAGGACCTTGTCTCTGCATCATGAACATTTTTGAGAATTTTGTCGGCTGAAGAGTGAGTCAAGTTGGCCTGATTTTGTTTTGCATGTTATTATGCACTCGAGGTCCCAGTCTGGGTTCACCATAAATGCAAATCTGGGTCAAATTTGTTCTCACTTGATTGGTCTGAACATTTCAAGCTGAACCCTAACCGCCCTGAATCCTTCAAAATCTTCTTTGCCAAAGTGGAGGAATTTGGAGGATTGAGGTTACATGGCAAAAGTGTGTTACTGATTTCATAGGATGCACTTTGTTAAGGTCTTGGGCCAGACCTTGTGTTGTTTGGCTCAGCCATGCATAAATATTGGCCTGGATTACGCTTGAAATCCTCCGTACTGCTCCAGGATGTCACAGGCCAAGGGTCAATATATTGGCAGTAACCACCACAGGATTTTGCAGGATTCAGGCAGTGGTCACCCCTCCACGGACCATATTCAAGAAACAATGGAGGATTTTGCAGGACTGAGGCTACATTCAAGCAAAAAGGCCTAGAGAGTTAGGGTTAACAGCTAAATCAAACCGGCTTGGAACAGTCAGCCTACACCATACGGCATGAACGAATCCCACCGGCCCTCCACAACTTACCAATGTTGCCCCTGGGCGATTTGACCTCCCCGACCTTGGATGCATTCTTATCCCGCCAGTTCTTGAAGATGTACTTGAAGGCGGTCGGCTCCCCGCCGTCATTGACGGCAGTGATCTTGGTACCCTTGGGGTATTGCTTGGCTTTTATGAACCCCTGTATTCCGTGGAAAAGAAACTTAGAAAAAAATTGCAAAAACTCTCGACGACCACAAGAAAACACTGCTGCAAACTCAGAAAGAAATAACACCGCAAAATCAATCCAAAACAGAAAATAAACCTTTCACCACAGGACAATGTTGTCAAACTTGTGCAACACTGATACTAAGCCAAGAAAAAATCCTTAAAGACAAACATTCAAAATACATGATTTTTTCGAAAAATTGAAAAAAATATTGACTGGAGCGGGGTTTGAACCTGTGACCTCCGGATTACCGTTCTGTTGCTCTACCAACTGAGAGCACCGGAACGGCAATCCGGAGGTTGCAGGCTCAAACCCCACTCCGGTCAATTTCTTTGTTCAACTGTCCAAAATCATTATAATTCACCAAGTCAGTTTCCCTTTGTGGTTCACTTGAAAATATTTCATTTATAGAGTTGCAGTTCTTGTAGTCAAGTACTATATTGCACACTTGTACTCGCACATTTTGAAAAAGCTTGTGCACATGTACATGTAATTTGGGCATTTCGTTCCAATGTGCTTGTAAAACACTAATGCAAGTTTCAGCGAGTTCCTGTGCTCTTAAAAAGTACTTGACTACAACAATGCAAGATAACATATCCATCTGAAGTGAGGTGTAATTCTTTTTTTTAATTATAAAGTTGGTCAAATTAGCATTATTACTACATCATCAAATTGCAGTACACAGTTGCGCAAAACTGCCAGATTTCTACTGGCCCGTACTATACTGTACCACAGGCCATTGCCATGTACTGATGGATTGGCAAATTATGCCTAAATATATTCGTGAGTTTTTCCCACAACATTTGCTTTACCTTTTCTGAAAGACTGGAAGCAACCTTTACTATTCATATTAACTGACAGTACTGTACTTATGAACCATTGCTTATGAACATTTTTTGTTGGAAAGAGTGTGGCTCTGTCCTGTTTTGATAACCATTTATAAAATATGCGTTGGTATCATGAGTACAGCATTGGGCAGTTTACTAGCACTGTGTACTGTAAAACTCAAACTAGCGTACAATGTACAGCATCAGAATGATTTGTACACATACAATCACACTTGTGATTAAGCAAAATTTGAAAATATCACTGCAGTATTTTAAGCTACTGTGTCACAAAATAAAACAAAATACAGTCATGATTTGGATATAAATAGCTTAAATGTCAAAATTTTAGTTCTCAAGATACATTTTTACTTTTTGTTAACATTCACAACAGCCTGATGCAGTTATATGACATTTAACTGGAATCGGAAAGGCATTGTGCAGGCAATTTCTTTGAAACATTTGCAGTCTGTCAGCAGTTTTAACCACTCTCAAATTTCTTAACAGATGCAAACAGAATTGTAAGTTTGCTATTAAAACAGAATCCATAACATTCATCTTTGAACCCTTTTCATTGCAAAAATTATACAATCAACGATGTCGCAAGATACACCTTGAATTTGTTCATGAGCTGGGATGATGATGAAAAATGCAGACAAGCAAACCGCACAGCATCTTAGCAGCGATACTAAATTCGGTGCTCGGTAGTGTCTGGTTCTCAATCTCTTTAATTGAGTATCAAATAACGACAGCTGTCTGGAAGCACGCTGCATGCACATTAATGCCATGACCACATTCAACCTTCCACATGGCCTGTCTGTCTCTCCATTTAAATGTCATGTACATGAATTGGTTCATCAGTTCTGTTTGTGAACGGCTAACATTTAGGACACTGACAACTGTACAAACATTTTGTAGGGGTATTAATTGTATGTTGAATAGTCAATCCTCGTACAAAAAAAAGTCAACACAGGGCTACTGGAGTTTCCAAGCTTTGGGTGTTTTTGGGGCTTTTTTTTGTGTCCAAAAATATAGTGTACATGGATCATTCTATATACTTAGGTACAACAGTGTTTGAAGTTTATCCTGTCCCTGTAACTAAACTTTGTAATTTATCATTCATGTCTCATTAAAAATGACTTCAGACTAATTGTGTTATTTATTGTGCAGGTCGTCTGCTTCACATAATGAGGAAGAATACATTAAAGAGTTCATCCAGAGTTATAAAATCATGTTAGATGTCAGATCGCGTCGATGTCGGATGTAACAGGGACAAGAAACAAAAGTGCACCCCAGATTTAGAGAATGACCCATATGTATATTTTCATCTTCAAAATTCAATATTGATGTTTATCAGGATTAATTCACTCTGTAAATGAACCCTTACTCCATTTTATTTTAAGCTCACTACCATCCCAAATCCTACAAATTCCACCAAAGTGCAGAAACCCAATGGCACATTCTTTGGACTTCAAACTTTGTAGAGACATCAACACCTACATGTATGTAGTGCCCATGTACAATGTACATGTACAGTAATAGTGCCTGGGTAGTAACTTCCTCAATTCTAAAAACTTCCAAAATCTTTTTTGGTGGACTTTGAAGGATCTGGAAGGATTAGCGTGAATTAAGATGATGGTGCTTCAAAATAACTTTCATGATGTACATGTATATGTTAATCACATTTACAAATGGAGTGCAACCTGTAACTGGAATTAAGAGTCTGAAAAGTATATTCTTGCGTGCAATCCTTTGACTGCTCTTACTGAAATACACTACTGTCTAAGTTTGTAAAACCTATAAAATGAGCTAAGTCGTAAATCATAAGAGGAGGCAAATAACAGGATATTATCAGTTTGTTGTCAATGTGATTACTGTATCACCTTCCAAATCTGTCTCAATGTGGGAACGAAAAAGATCTTGTGGTTTGCAAGAAGAAAATTATGGCAAATCACTGTTGGACAAAAAAAATCTTCCATTTGAGGAAAAAAAAATATTCTTGAAAGGTTTACATCAATTTTGTTTTATTCTTAACCAGTTCGCGCCAGAGTTATTTTGACAAGAACGGAACGAGGCGCGGGATTACTTTTCACTCGACCTCAAGCCAGGCGGGTTGGAGCCATCACCCTTGGGAGCACACTCATATTTCTGACCTCACTCGCTGCGAGCGGGTCGCTGACAGATATTTCCGGCCTCGCTCCCTGCGTGTTTATCCGTCATCTGCTCCGAATACCGCAAAACCTTTGAGTGTTTACACATCATCCGGCGCGAACTGGTTAAATAGCCATGAATATAACTTATGAAAACTCCTCTTCAGAACTGATTTACAAACATATTGCTTTGTGATGAAATCAGTTCGTTGAAAATCACTGCAACCATGACATTATCAACGCAGCAATCCAATGCATAATATATTCTTTTTTGAGCCGTTTTTACAAACATTTTTGAAAAAGGCAGCAAAAATTTCAGTTTAAATTCACACAAAACCTGAAGCAAAAATGGCACTTTGTAGAAAAACTAACTACAATGAACCTTTTTTCAAAAGGAGCATTTTGGTGATGTTACATCCGTGATTGGCCAATTATGTATTTTTCATTTTTTCTCCACTGCAAATAATCACAAGATCTGATCATTCCCACTCCAAATCTGTCACTGAAATTGATTAGCAATGAACAGAATTAAATCTAGTCCACTGAGGTCTGTTAATGAAACTCTAAAGTCCCAGGTGTCAATTGGAAAGTGACCATGGCTGATATGCATGAATTAGTTATGATATTACATCTGTATACAAAAGTGCACTATTATTGTTTCCACCTTTCAGAGTGATTTTTGATTATCAGTGTTAATTGATCAATTACTGTTGTTTTTAGTTCAATACTTCTTCATTTGTTCAATATTTCTTCATTGTACATGTTTCGGGTCTGCATTTTGTTTCATTTAATCATTTTCATTTCATTGTTAGTATTCTTTCTGCTTGTTTAATAGTCCAGTGCATGTGTGACAAAATACTGATGAATTGTGCCCACCATGATGACTACCCCGCCCGCCCTTTTTTATAATACGGCTGCCACGCCCCTAAAAGGGCGAGTTTGCGATGGCTCCATACCTGGAATTTTTTTTCTCATGAAACTTAACGTCTGTGGGAAGTTTCATTCGTTTATGAAATGTGGACACAATTTTTCCCATGGTTGGCATATTGAGTACCCCCCTCTTTTTAAATTTTCAAATTTTGTTTCTAATTCTGTCATTTTCTTTTTGACTCACTCTGTACATGAATATTAATTATATCATGTTGATTACATTAAATATGAAACACAAATACAGATGCAACACAATGAAATAAAAAAAATGGATGAGGATGAATTATTCAACTCTCTGTTGAGAAACAAAATGAAAACATGCACACAGTGACAATGTTAGAACAAAACTACATGAATCATAAAAAAAGTTAGAGGGCGTAACAGAGCGATCCAATAAGGATCTTTGTTAAAGGCAAATGATTGTTACAACAAAACTACACGAATAAAGTACTCTATCCTGTATCAGAATGAATACATATGGGAGAAATGACTAATGAAAATTGTTAACACAAACATATGATAAAACTGACTACAAGTATGATAAGGAGCTACATGTGGGTGAAAAGGCAATGAATGACAAAATAAGAATGCCTATTAAAGCTATGTTCCTCGTGATATTTTTTGAGTTTCACCGCATAAAAGTAATACTTTTTTTTCAAATTGCTATTGTCCAAGCAACATAAAAGTTATTCACTATTGAATGAGACATATAACCAAAAAAATCCACCGACGTTTAGTTATTGAATTATTTCTTCACAGAATTCAAATTATTGGCTGTCAGACAATATTTTGGCTCTCGCAGGGTGGGTTCAGTCGTGCGCAAACTGAAAGCCCCTTTTTCAGAGGGTTGAAGACGCCCAAAATGGGAACAAAGTTGTTGGGTTTTTTTCATATAAACAAAACATACAAATTGAAAAGTTGTTGGGAGTAAAACATCAATTTCTTGAAGAGTTCAGGGTATGCAAATTTAACTATGCAAAACGAAGAACTGCAGAAGATTAAGAAAAACGATAGAAGAAATTTCATGCCTTCTTGGGAGAAGTTTGAAGCAACGTCATGTGAGTCAATTGCCTCTAAATTAGAAAATAATGGTTTTGAGTGGTGGCTCTCATAATAACGGTCAAAGCATATTGCCTAAAACATCATGTCAACACCTCTGGTTCTTCTCAGAAAGTTCTCGTTTCGCGATCAAACCCTTCACATGGTGTATCTACTAACTTCTCCCATGCTGTACCCTCAATCACAAAAAACCTCTCATCCCATAAAATCACCATTAAAAATAATTTGATTGTATGTGCAGAAATGAAACACCAAATATAAGCAAACCAGAGAATAGGAGGGGAAAAGTGGGATTTACAAAATCTATCGCATATTTTGTCCAGATTCATGATACACTGTTTAGGCTATGTGCAGGAACAATAGAGGGCACTGTCAAGTCGAATTATGAGTGCGTTCGATTACTTCCCCCGCGCTTACTCGTGCAAGCGCGACAGCGTTCAATTTACCTCTCACGTGACTTCTCGCGCTTACTCGAGCCTGGCCCAAGTAACCGACTTGACGAGCCGGTTAGTTGGGTAAGTATCCCATAAGGCCATGCAATAAATATGGCTGCCAACATGATCTCCGGCGAGCACCTCAGGCCATGTGCTTCCAGAGCTACAGCTACGTCTATTATCAGCCCGTCCCCACGTATTTCCAATGGGCGTGGACCTAGACCTAGCTCTAGACAGTTGATTCGGATGCAGCCTCAGTGTCATGTCAAAGTTCAACTTTCCAGCTCTTGCACGAAACTTTACCAAAAAACGTTCGTTTATTTAGCTCCACTGCGCATGTCTGTCATCACGCGAGGAGCAGGCGCGAGTAAGCTGGGGGAAGTAATCGAACGCACTCAGTAAGAGCCGGGGGGGGGGAAGCTTCCATGGTAAACTGTATACAATCTACAAGATTGATTACCGACCAACTCAACACTGAACTTCAGTGTATCTATTGAGCATTATTTCACAATATTCATACTAAAAGAAGGTGCATGACTAAAATGGTGATCGGCCTTCCCTTTTTTCTTGGGGAGGGGGTTGAACTTTGCATTGCTCAATGCAACGGGGGAAATATATTGAGCGCATAGTTTGTACCCAAGTGGCAAGATAACCAAGTGTCTATTTGGGAGGCAGGGAAAGAAGGGGAGAGGAATGCATGTAAAGTGGGATTGACAGATTTGTTTTGACTTCTGCGTTACATTTATTGTTTCATAGCCGAATGTGCAATTCTTCAAAAAACATTTCTGTTTCAGAACAAGATAACAGGCTGTGACTACCAGCACATGATTCTATAAAAGAAACAATGTTCTCTGGAAAAGGAAATGAAAAGTGATGAAAATGACGACATGGTGGATTGTATACAACAATAAACAACACAAAAATGAATACCTCAATTCACATTGTGGTAGTTGTCATATTAAAAAGTGTTGAAGTTTTTCATGATTGTTAGTAATGTGGAGCAAATCACAACTGAAAAAAAACTGTGTAATTTGTTAGCATAAGTGTAACTGTGTGTTCTGTTAGTGTTACAGGTTGGTGTTAGTAAGCAAGGGAATCTGCAGTCAAGGAAAGGATAGTATTCAAAGTGGGTACCCTGGGGAGGATACTAGGGGCCCTGTGCAAGTTTCAGTGGCAGAAAAGGTACCAGTGACAGTGGGGAATACAGGTGATACCACAACAACAGTGCCAACAAAAAAACTGGTAATAACCTTTCAAACCCTCATAGGGAAATGGACAGGCCTGATGGGTCAGAGGTCAAATTGGTGACTACTTTGCATATCTAACAGCCAATCAGAATACAAGCATTTCAAAGCAGTTGCTAATCTGTATGTCCATCAGCCAATGGGAATGAAAGTATTTTGGTTGGACTTTTTAGTGTGCAATACCGAATGAAATAAAAATTGTCTGAAAAAATGTTGTCATTCTTAAAATTTGAATTTGAATTCTTCTAGATTTTTTTTTTCTTCCGTTATGACCCCTGACCCCACAAGACTGCCTCAGTGCAATGAAGAAGCCAACCACAGTCCACGGACTGCCCACAGCGACCGTCGCCGGGGCAGCCGTCGCCGTGGCAATACTTCACCTCGGCATTCTTCATGGCCCTGACTTTCTCCTGTTGAGTGGCCGATTTGCCTTTCCACACGTAAATGCCGGCGCTGCTTTGATCGATGATGTAGCAGTCCTGTTGGAAGCAAGCACATAAATTAAGGTGAGCTAACCAAACAAAATTTGAACTGCATTCACATTAGACTTAAAGGTAGTGTCCATCATCTGTAATTTGTGCATTATGTTTGTTTGAAGCAACGAAAGTGCTCAAAATCTAAAGAAGGGTGCTGAACAACTAGCATGATGAAGTTTCAGCTCAGTGAATGCTGTATATTCCGAGAAAACAATATTCTAGGATCTCGATTTCAAATCGAAAGTTGCTAAGTCATGTTTTGAATTGGGCCTGAATTCAGCGTCCGAGACACGTTCTCACTGAGCCGATTGCAGCTACGTGATGCCGCGCACTGAACCGACGAATTATAACAACTGCGCGCGCATGTGCATCATGTCAACGCTTGTGCGCGATTCGCCGAATGAAAAAACAAACTACTAACGGAAATTTCCAATGATGCGTCTTTAGACCTCCTTTCATTGATTTCTTCAAAATGACAGCTTGCCGGAAAGAATAATTTCACAGGGAATCCCATTACCATCTTTAACCAAGTATGCTTTTCAACAATAATTACGTCAGTTACTTTTTAGATAGCTGCAAATGACGGACTATAGCTTTTAATTTGTAAAAAGTTACCGCATGTGATTGTTACCATTTCATTGTGGTTATTCTACTGTACGTCCGCACTTGGATTCATTCCAGCCCACAGAAAGTCATTTGTTAAATAAAACTAACAATTTAAGTTTTCCACGACACGGTGCCCCTACAAAACTCACTGCTGCGGACCGTGGAACTTACAATCGACAGTCAACTTTTGGCATTTTAGGGGGTTTACTAGCTATCTGCACTGGACTTAATTTAAGTTGACAACAGCCTCCATGAGTTACTTTTTATTTTATCCATTGTTTTAATTTAACTCTAAATTCCTAGGCTTTTTTGCTAGGATGTAAACTCAATCCTGCAAAATCCTAAAACCGCCTCCATGTAAAAATTGCATACAGCCTCAATCCTCTGTTTTTTCTTGAATGTGGTCCTTGGAGGGGTGCCTACTGCCTCAATCCTGCAAAATCCTCTGCAATCACTGTCAATATGTTGAGGCAGAGCCAGTGACATCCTGGAGCAGTGCGGAGGATTTCAAGTATAATATAGGCCTAAATTTATGCACGGCTGAGCATAAACAACACAAGGTCCGGCCCAAGATCTTGACATAGTGCATCCTCTGAAATCAGCCAACACACTATGCCGTCTTACCTCAATCCTGCAAAATCCCCTCCAAGAGGATTTTGGAGGATTTGGGAAGGTTAGGGTTAATGTAACATGTTCAGAGCGAATTCAAAAACAGAGGTGGAGGACGTCAGGAAAAATCAACAGGTTTCAAGGGAAGACTTACATTGGAGTCCAGCAGGTCCTGGGTCAGAGGGCAAACTGCTTTCTCTGTGACAACCAGAGCACCCGACTCATCAGTAACACTGGGAGAGAGAAAAAATATGAACATACAAAAATTAAAAGGAAACCACGGTAAATTAAAACATGGACTGGCAGACACAAGAACAGACAGGCAATGTTTCAAACGCTTCATATGAACCTTGATGCACTAGAAAATAAAAAGTTTGAGGAAAAGATGCAAGTTTGCTGTATAGGGTGGTCTTTGATGACATCACCAATTTGTTTTTCGGCCATCTTGGATTACAAACATGCGTGCAGACGTTCACGATCGTACATGCCATTGCATGCGATCACGTCGAATCGGATGTCCACTGTTGTTTTTATCTTTTTATTTGCATAATGGAGACCGATTCGACCCATTCTTTGTTCAGCACTGCGAATTGAGTATGTCCATAAGTACCAGACCGAGTTTGGGGGCAAAATGTACAGCAGTTTTTGAGCACATTATGCAAATACATTCGTTTCTGTCTTGAATTTGTGTGGTAGTAGTATATGGCATTATGTTGGCATTCCATCTATGGGGCTCTCCGCTTCGTTGAGCCCCATAGTTCTAGGGGTAGGTGTGTAAACAAGGAAATGGATTATACTAGGATACAAACTCATGGTAAAAATGAAGGCTCTTCATTCCATTTATTGAGTAGGGGTCAAAGCCGGTTAACCATTGGAGAATCTGGTCTTAACGGGCTTAGGAATTTTTATCTGGGTTTTGTTACATGATGATCGCGTAGAACGCATAGCCATCGTACACTTACTTGCTAACGCGTTTACACTGTGTGTAATCCAAGATGGCTGACCGTACACGTTACCAAGAAATCATGTGACGTCAAAGCGAAGGGTCTATAGTGGAGGATTTTGAAGTATTCGGAGAGCTTCCTTGTATAAAGCAACTAGGATCAATAAAATCTTGGACAAAACAAGAAATCACATCTTGGACAACTGGCTGAATCAAGCGCTCTTACTGGTACAGCTTGGTGTTGGAGACATTTTTCCTGGAAAAGGTTTCGTCTTCCTCCGGTGAGTTCTTGAAGGTTTTCGGGGGAGATCCCAAGGCCTTAGTGATGTCCTCAGGCAGTGTTTCACCTTCCTCAAGGTACACGATGTGGGCCTTGCCACCGTGCATGTCATCCCTGGCCATCTGGCATACTGTCCTCCCTTCAAAACAAAACAAAAAGAAATGAATAGGGTTGTGCATCAGAACCGAGTACCCGAGTACCCAACTAACGATGTCAGGAACCGGTTCCAGGATTAAGTACCCGTAACCAAATTTACAAATTACTTAGTAACTTCTCAGACAATGAAAGTGAAAGGTTTTGAATGCCATTTGTGGGAACTTACAAAATGAAAACCAGGTTACATTGAAAATCAAGACATATTTCACATTATGTGCATTTTAACATGCAACAGACGACACTCATGAAATTTTCAGCTCCTCTCCATAAAAGGGTCCATGACATGAATTTTTCTTAGGAAACATTTTTTGCCACTTTCTTCACCTCTTGAATGTATGAAAACTATTTGCCATCCCTTTTTGGTAATTTTATTAAAATCTGCACTTCTTTAAACTTTTGCTGTGATTTCATTTCAGGCATAGACCTCTGATAAAACCTAGAAACGACATTTGGTATCGCATCTGGGAGCAAAATGCTGCGCGTATAGAATATTTCAACCAAATCCCACTCGTACCAACCCAATCATCGCTGCGCGCTTACGTACATGCATTTATGCGCGTGATTCGAAGCCACATGATATTCACGCATCGCGTAACAAATCATCACAGGCCACGTGACACAGCCTATTTTGCTCACACAATTCACAATGCAAAGGCAGTTTGTCATTTCTAGATTTTATTAGATGTCTATCATTTCAGGAAGACACCATTCAGTTTAGGAGTTTCCTGTTAAAATTGTGAGCCCAAAATTTGCTCATTGAAAACATTTTTGAGAAAAGTCTGCTCACTGGCTTATGCCAATGTACTGACACAACAATGAATGGCCAAAGAAAAGAAAATTCACGACAGCAAAACATCCAAACTTCTGGCAACTTATTGATGCTGAAACAGCTGTAACATTGAGGTTTACGCCTGAAATGACATCACACTTTAACTCATGAATATGGAAATTTGAATTTGCATAAAACCAAAAAGGCACCATACATCCTTGAAAATTGCAAAACGATAATTGAAAATAAGGATTAATGGGTCACAAAAGTGCATTTTCAAGGACCAATGCATGGCCCCTTGTCTTTAATATTCTGGCCTAGCTCGCTGTGAGCAGATCTCTGACAGATATTCCGGCCTCGCTCGTTGCGTGTTTATCCGTCATCAGTTCCGAATACCGCAAAACCTTTGGGTGTATACACGTCATCCGACGTGAACTGGATAAAAAATGTTCTAACTTTTCTGTTTCCTGAACCCTACAGCCACGCCTCACTCTTATAGCTTAGGGGTATGTCCCACCCACCCTAACCCTACCTTCAATTTCTCCTGCCGGTTAGCCTTGGACCCATACCACACGTAGATCTTCGGGTTCAGCTCCAGGATAAACACATCGCCGTTGTTGAAGGAATCCCATGTCATGTCAACCTAGAAAACCCAAACAAACACGGTACCCAAATCTTGATATTGTTATAGCATAGTAGTAGATTGTGATATCTTATCGGTTGAGAATCGATCATGCGACATACTGTAAAAAGTTCACGTATGACGATGTGATGGACTCCATGGAATACATCACCTCAAGTTCCAAGGAACATTACCTTTTATTGTTTCGAAAGACTTTTTAACATTTTCGTCCCCACTGCACAGCTCAAAAAGACCCTGCACACAAGGTACAATGTTGGTGATATAACGCAGAGCGTCCGCGTGAAAACTTACCGGGATGACCCTGACGTTGCGCTTGCCTTTGACCTTTGACAGTTTGGGGTCATGCTTGTTCCTCTCCACATGTCTGAAGCCGGAGGCAATGCCACCCTTCTGGTAGCTAAAAAGAAAAGAAGAAGAAAAAATGACAAGAATCCCTGATACAAAAGATAAGCAATGGTCCCTTTGCGATCTGTCTGTTGGCATGGTGGCGCTTGCCTCACTTTCACCTCTGTGACGAGCGTCAGAAACCTACTCAGGTTGCTATGAGACTTCAGTTCCAGTCCCATACTGTTAGTTTTCCCTAGATTTGGCAGGGGTTTTTCTCCAACTGCCCCCCCCCCCCAAAAAAGCAACATTCTGTCAAATGTTTTCTGAGGAAATAATGTGTTTCATGAACTGCTAAAATCTGACAACTAGTTTACAATGATATCTGGCAAATGCAGGATCGAGACTCCAGCCGATGGTTCTTCCTTAGATATTTACGAGGCAGCCTGCTGTATCCAACAGTTAGGGCAAAAGATCTGCTGCTCTTGCTCTGATCAACAAAATCCTACAGAATACGGCCCTTTTTTTGGATAGTAATGGATTCGGAATACACAGTATTGAGAGTCCCAAATTTTCGGACTAGGTTTAACTACGAAGAATGTGTGTAAAAAGTATACAACAAAAAGCACGAAAAGTATGCTTACATGATCTGCTTGAAGTAAGACGAGAAGAGGATTCTGACTCGCTCGACTCGCTCCACCTCCCGATGCTGGGTGGGGACCCGCCCAGATGGTCATCCAACTCTGTGGTCTTGTATGCTGCCACACCCGCTCATCCTACACGCAATCAAGAAAATCTGATCACTGTTCAAGCAATTCAAGATAGACTTCCCATATTTGTCTAGTCGTAATTCATTTCTCTGATGTGTGCAATCCTTACGTGAACGCTTCCTTGCTTCCATTTTGCTTGTGAATTATAGTGCTTTTACAAATAAAGAATGTTTACGAGTGCAATGGTAAGAATAATTTCATGAGGTGACAGATGGAACGTTCCATTCCATGAGGAGAATGTTCCATCTGTAACAGAATTAAATTATTCTTTCCAATGTAAGAAAGTGAACCATTCATATTTATTTTAAGCAACCCCTGAATAAGTCCTTGTTATCAGAACCATCAGCGTTGTGTTTTTTTTAGCGCCACCAATAGTGTGACCATGCAATGGAACTTCTATTTAACGTGCAATGGAACTTCTATTTACCATGCAATGGAACTTCTATTTACCGTGCAATGGAACTTCTATTTACCATGCAATGGAACTTCTATTTACCATGCAATGGAACTTCTATTTACCATGCAATGGAACTTCTATTTACCATGCAATGGAACTTCTATTTACCGTGCAATGGAACTTCTATTTACCGTGCAATGGAACTTCTATTTACCGTGCAATGGAACTTCTATTTACCGTGCAATGGAACTTCTATTTACCGTGCAATGGAACTTCTATTTACCATGCAATGGAACTTCTATTTACCATGCAATGGAACTTCTATTTACCATGCAATGGAACTTCTATTTACCATGCAATGGAACTTCTATTTTGCGGTGCGGCCGGCCATGGGTCGGGACAAATAATTTGATGACACTTGATAAACGACCCACCACTCAGATGACCGGGATGTATTCAGGCGTTATAAAACAATCAATGTAAAATTGAATTACTTTCACCGACATACAAACACTGTACGCTTAGTGTGCCACCTTCCGAGTGAAAGTTGGAAAAAATCACTCGGGTGGGCCTCGAACCCACGACCTCCCACCTTCTAGTGCAGACGTCTTACCACACGATAGTCGAGTGGTAAGACGGTGGTCGAGTGGTAAGACGTCTGCACTGGAATGCAGGAGGTCGCGGGTTCGAGTCCCACCCGAGTGAATTACTTGTAAATATTTCATACAAAATGTATGAATATCACGAGAAATCCATGAAACATCACGTATTTATATGCATTTGGAATAAGTAAGAATAATGAAAAAAATTTCGGAAATCTTTCAAATTTTTGTTTTTGGTTGTTTCCACTGTACCTGAGAGGTTTCTTTTCCAAGCCAGAAATGGATGTTCCATACAAAGCTGTTGCCTGAAGACCTTGTCTGCAGCACAAAAGGGAATTCAGATAAAACAATCACAATTGGATACTATTTTTGCTTGTTTTTAAGAAAGAGAGCATGCAAATTGACCTCAAAAGCCTACGTGATTTTACGGCAATGCAGCACATCCTTGCACCACGTATATACATAAGATCTAAAAATGTGTGTGACATCCTATTTTGTTTTTCATTATTTTGTGTGCTGACTATAGGCTTATCTAGTCAAGGTCAATATTCAGTTTCTGTATCAGTTTGCACAATTTACAACATTTTGAAAATTATTGAAAAAGGATGACTAAAAATTTTGACCTCAACTTTCGTTTAATTGATCAGGCAGATAACAATTGGGTAAATACTAACACGGGAGTCTTATGATTTGGATTTTAATTTTTTATGGATCCCCCTTAAAAATAAAAATTGTGAACAAAAATACAGTTTAGGATTTGAACTTATGTCTATGACTTTTGGAATAAAGCACTGAATAATTTGAATAACTCAGTTGGTAGAACGTAAGTAAAGTGTCCTGGAGGTAACGTGTTTTATTCCCACCTCAAATAAGTTTTTACCCTGTCCAATCTTGAATCGATAAAAAAAAACAATCAGTTTTCCCCAGACCAAAGTTACTCCAAACTTTTCACTATCAAAATACAATCTATAAACCTCCTTTATAAAAATCCTGCCTCCCGTACATTTGATAGCGCACCACTCAATACCTGTGGAGGGTTTAATGCTGACAATGGCTACATTTTAAAATGCAACAACATAGTTGTCGAGATCAAGCCCAGCACGCTTGATCTGTTTTCAGGATTGGAAAGGGATTTCCGTGACTATTGTCTGATGTGCAGTGTAGCGTGTACCACTCGGCCCGCACTGTGAATTGATACACTGTCATTCATTGTATGTAAACGCACCCGAAGACCTTGATTTACCCAGTGAATAACATTTTCCCACACACGTTCACAGGCCAATACCTAATGAATCACAAATCCACGAATGGAGTTGGACAATACATGTATTTATGGATAAGCAACAAAACTGTCATGAGGGGCAGACATAAATAAGACTCTTCAATGGACAGCCTCTCTTGAATTTGAAAAATAAACAGTTTCTTCCTAAAGTCTAAAGAGTAGCTTTAGAAATTATATGGCAAAAAATTCAGTATGTTTCACCGAGTGTGTTATTACAGATAGCACTGAATGTGTAATGCATGTACATACCTTTTCAGCTACGTGTACATTGCATTGATACATACTGTACATGTACTGTAGGTCCAACACACGTACAGTGTACTGCACACACGGGTAAATCTGTTCCTTGCTCTACCGTATGCTTGATGCAAGTGTTTAGACAACATGGTACATGTACATGTACATATTATATATGAAGATATTAGAACGGACAAACCAAGTGCTTTAATTTTCAGTAAACATTTCCTGTATCACAGGTGTAGTGGCTAAAGAAATTGAAATGAAAAGAATTTCAAAGACATATCTGAAAAATCCCAGGCAAGATTTAAGCCTTATTATATTTCGGACACTGTTTAGAGCAGAACAAACTAAACTTTTGACCTGCTAAAGAGGCTTAAATTGCAAATGAGAACAGCGTTACGATGCCATTTTTTCCTCACAAACAGTAATATCATTTTATATGTATTGGACAAATTTAGTAGCATTAAGATTGTAAACTATTAAATGTCATTACAGTCGAATCTCGTTAGTACAAACTCTGTTAAAGGGAATATACATCATTTGCTTTTGCTGTAATTTTCAGAAATGGATGGAATTGGGGGTTTGAAATATAAGCAAATATAGTTACACTAACTTTTTGGAGGTTTTGGGTTCGAAAATGCTATAAAAACCAAGAAAACGATCATTTTCCTGTAGTCTGGTTCCCTGACTCCATATAAGAAGAAACAGAGCAGTTTACATACATTTGGGAATTGTAAGGTCAGGGAACCAGTCTAGCTGGCTCGTACCCGTTCATAGGTTTGTAATCGATTGCAAACAAGTGCAATGGTCAATTGGGGCCAGTATTTGAAAAAAAAGCCAGTTGTTTCCAACGCTGATCGGCCGATCAGCGTTGGAAATTGATACAAAAATACCACTTTTCTTGAAAATGACAGTATACCAGGTGCCATAATTTTACAGGATGCTTTAGACTGTCATTTACCAACATCCTATTAAGGTATTTCGCAAAAACTTGGTAGTTTTATTTTTCGATGTTTGCAAATGTTGTATATTCCCTTTAATACAAAATTCTGGTTATAACAAACATAAAGTCTTAGTCCCGACTGTGCATTTATGTGCACAATGAATGGGACTGATGTTCCTCTTAAAACAAAATTCTGATATAACAAACAATTTGGCTAGGTCCGAACGAGTTTGTATTAACGAGACTCGACTGTACTCTGTTGTGTTTTGTAAGCTGAGTGCTCGGAGTGTGCATCGGAACCAGGTACCCGGGTACCCGACCGCTGATGTCAGGAACCGGTTTCAGATTATGAAATTGGATAACCAAACCAACTTTACAAATTACTCAGTAACTTCTTAATCGATGAAAAGAACGGTTCTGAATGCCATTTGTGGGGCATTTTCAAAATGAAAACCAGGCTACATGTATATTGATAATCAAAACAGATTTCGTGTTTATGTGTATTTTAATGCACGACAGATGATGCTCGCTAATGTTGCAGTTTACACCGTAAAGCTATTTAAAGCCTTTAGACAACTTCCGGGATTTGAATTTTGGGGTTGGGTTTCTTGTACTCGTGTTATACTTCAATAGGGTGCCCGGTTCCATACTACCCGTAAATTATACACACCACCATGCACAAATGTAAATGTCGAAAGAAACAAGACCACTGAACTATTTGGGTAAGGGGAAACCACTAAAATTCACTCAAACACACTTATAAGGGTATTTTGAGCCCTGAGCTCCTAAGTTAAATGTACACGTACCATATTAAAGGGAATATACAACATTTGCAAATATCGACAAATAAACTACCAGGTTTTTACGAAAAACCTTACTAGGATGTTGGTTAATGACAGTCTCAAGCATCTTGTAAAATTATGGCACTTGGTGTGAAGTCATTTTCAAGAAAATGGTATTTTTGTATAAATTTCCAACGGTGGTCGGCCGACCACCGTTGGAAAAACCTAACTATTTTTCAACTACTGCTCCAAATTTACCATTTGTTCAGTCAAAATTTTGTTTGCTATTGGTTACATGTTCATGAACGGGTGCAGGCCAGCTAGACTTGTTCCCTGACCTAACAATTTTCCGGCATCTATAATTGATCCATTTCATCTTTAGTGGAGTCAGCGAACCAGACTACTTGAACGTTTTTGTTTTTCCAGCATTTTCGAACACAAAACTTCAAACATGTCAGTGTAACAATATTTGATCTATTATACTAACCCCTCAAATACATGTAGTTCATTTTTAAAAAATTTTAAAACAGCAAAAGCCAATGATGTACATTCCCTTTAAATAGAAAGTATACACAAGTATGTATGTACAATAGGCCTATATATGCCAACTCACTAATTTATGGCCATTTTTATACAAACTATTGAGAGTTCACCCTTGACCTCTACCTATCCCCTGTCAATCCCTGATGCGGGGTGACCCGTGAATTTAAAGGAAGTGCAGGTAAAGGTCATGAGTGCAGGTCAACCAGAACTTCATCATTCATGGGTGAAAGTTGCCGACCAAAATGTACCCTACAGGGCACGATCTGCACGTAGACGGGAAGTACATTATAAAGTTAACTTACAAAGTACGGATTCATGAACACAAAAAAGCTGGCTCCTCCGTCCATTGACCTTTCTTCATAAAGTACTACAGCCCACAACTGCAGAAATCGATAATTTCTGTTGGATTTTACAGCGACTCTAGTGGATTTACAAAATGTAGCAAATTGTACACCATGCACATTTTTTTAATGATATTGTTGAATTCAGAAGGGTCTAAGCTAAAATACAGAGAGTGAGATTAGTTATTCTGACACTTAACCGCCATTTTCAAGTCTTTTTAAGATGAATCTTCAGTCAATGCTTAACTGCTTCACCTTTTAACTACATGTACTAGTATTTTCAAAGTATTTGAGGAAAATCAAAATGAAAGATCATGTTTTATACACAATGTTTTGCTCCTAGTTTCCCAAAACGAAGTGCCTTACTCAGTCCTCTGATTTGAACATGGTATGCATGGTCAAACTTTTAGGAATGTACAATTTCGCAAACATTAAAAAACCAAACTACCAAATTAAATTCACTATTGTACTTGACTGTAAGTGAACGATAGTCTTAAGCATCATGTGAATCATGGCATCTGGTGTGCTGTCATTTTCAATACAAGTGGAATTTTTGTATCAATTTCCAAAGTTTTCCATCGTTGGAAAAAAACTGACTTTTTTTTTCAAATACTGCCCCCAATTTACCAAATTTAGTTTAAGTCCACATTTTGTTTGCAATCTGTTACTGGTACACATCTGTGAACGGGTGCAAGCCAGCTAGTCTGGTTCCCTGACCTGACAATTCTCTATAATTAAATAAGCTGCCCCTTTTCGTCTGTAGTAGGGTCAAGGAGCCAGACTACAAGAACAGCATTTTTGGGGGGGGGGGGGCTTCCGGCATCCATGAACACAAAACTTTAATTAAACAGGCCAATGTGACAACATTTGCTACAAAATGCTAACCCCAAATCCATTTACATCTGAAAATTACAGCAAATGCTAATTTTGTATACCATACCCGTTATTAGTAGTGTACGGTACCTTTAACTCTGAATTCTCCAAGAGGTGTCACTGTTTTTGTGCTTGTGAAGGACGTAGAGTTAAAGGTGACAAGCGAGGTTAAAGGTGACTAACAAGGTAACAGAAATAAATTATGCATAGACTTGTCACCACCAGGTCTTGATTTCTGAGAGTCATACGGGCAATCAGCTTCTTTTCGCATACATGAACTTGTACTTTTTCTTCTTTCGATGCCTAGTAGTTTTTGTCTGCAAGCCAGCTGAGACTTAACGCGATTCTGTAATGACTTACAACACTAATCTAATTACTGGGCCGTGTAAGCAGCTGCGCTGAAATGCAGCGATGAAAATGTAAGCTGTTCGTATCACTGGATTTGGAATCTGCATGCCATAAGTAACCTATGACAATAATGCCCTGTCTGGGTAAGAACTAAGATTACTTATTGAGAGTGTGAAAATGCAAATATGAATATAAGGGTGGCCTACTGATTTTTTTTATTTTAACTGATTTTAAATCGCATTAAATTTACAGGTCAGTGGTGCTGGTTTTACATAATTATGGTTTGTATTTTAAGACCTATAAGGACCATGGACACTCGATAATTCACTCCCTCATATTTAACAAGATACGTGTAAAGTAATTTTTTAATTCAAGATTATGTTCCATTTTAAATCTTTTTATCTATACACCGTCTGTTTTAATCTATGGTTTTAATTTTGTGTGGTTTTAATTCCTTGGGTTCTTTTATGGTAATGTAACTTTTGCCGATATTATATCATGTTTTCATGTAATTCGGGGCCCCCAGGGAGAACAGTGCCTTGACAACTGATGGGGCTACCCTGGTAAAATAAAACAAAATAAATAATAAATAAATTAATGGGCAGTTTTTTGGGCACAGTTTATAGGATAATCTGCGCACCGGATAGTATACACAATGCAATAGCAACTGGAATTAATTGCAGTGGCCGCTGAAAGATGGTCATCATGGAGAAGTGGCCATACTATATATAGAGATGTGGCCATCATGGGGAAGTGGCCATCATGGGGAAGTGGCCAACATACTGTGGCCATCATGGAGAAGTGGCCATCATACATGTACTGTGGCCATCATACTTTGCCCAATGTGACAGTATGATGGCCATCATACTGTGGCCATCATACTGTGGCCATTATACTGTGGCCATCATGGAGAAGTGGCCATCATACTGTGGCCATCATACTTTGGCCAACGTGACAGTATGATGGCCATCATACTGTGGCCCTCATACTGTGGCCCTCATACTGTGGCCATAATACTGTGGCCATCATGGAGAAGTGTCCACGATGGATACCATTGACAAAGTGGCCATTCTGGACAGGTGGCCACAATGAAATGAACAGGTAACCACAAGGAAAAGGAAGCAAGATACAATTGACTGAAGTTTGTAAACAATGCATTTAAAACAGCCAGAAATCCAATACCGGGGCTGTGATCAATTTAATCAGATTTACACTGTGTAAAAGTTAATTGCTGTAAGGAAGTACAAAAGTCACTGAATTGGCCTAGGGGATTTACTGTATCATGTTTCCTCATTCCCGACTCTGACCTTATTTGACCTGATTTAACCTTGTGCTCAGGACATAATGCATTGCACTTTATATCCTACATGTGCTCTCATAAAGTAAAGTAAAGTCTGTCACGAGCCCATATGGCCCATCAGGCCTGCGTTTATCTCCAGTTTCCTTGGCAGAAATGACTGAGAATATTTCTACTCCCCCTGGATGGGATGCCAGTCCATCGCAGGTTACTCCCCAGCTAATGCCTGTACCCATTAATACTCCTGGGTGGAGAAAGGCTACCCAAGGGCACACGATATGTTCAGCAGCTGGATTCGAACCCCTGACCCTCTGATCGCGAAGTCACAAACCCTAGCCACACTCCCCCACTGGAACACTACGTGTCTGTCATGAATGTACGAAATGTACACTTGAATGCTACATGCAGGAACAGACTTTTTTCCAGTTAACATTCTAAGCATACAATGTAAGTGCGAATCAATGTACTTGAGCTATTTTAAGAGCATCCAAAACCAGTGATTCTAACTTCATTCGAGCACAACGTCTGAAGGAACTTCTGTTGCCAAACTTTCAGCCTGCATTATCCAGCTAGGGACATCCTTCAAAAATCTCTGCCCTAGCATTTCCCATAGTAGCTACACCCACATCTCAAGTCCAACAATCCTGGCATTGTTTGGTGTAAAAGCAGATACAGGAAGCAATACAGTACAGCTATGAACAAAACGGATACCGCGGCATCCGTGAACTGTGGTTTAGGCCACAATGCCCATATAAAGCAATGTTTTGATCCCCAGGGTATGGTGCAGGGAGTTGGTGGAGATCACGAATAACATCCTTTGTCAGTTGTCATCCGATTCTTTTTTTAGTATTTCAAGTTCAACATACATGTCACATGTACAGACACCCATACAGACACACAAACGGAGTACGCTATGGAACTTAAAATATTTTCCAGTCCTCTTTCGTTTCAGTTTCAGGAGATTTTTATTCCCCTGATTTCAGAGACTCTGCTCACTATATTTGTGTTCTGGTTCAGAAACATCAAATCCTCTACAATGAGGCAAAAATTTAAATTACCTTTTCGGGTTGTTTTTGATATTAAACATTCAAATGATTTTCAGCCAGATATGAATCTGAATCCAGGGACAAAGACAAGGTTTGGAAATGTTCCCCAAGAATTTGCCTGTTACATTTAAGAGCTTCATAAAAAATTGCAATACTAACATGCAGGACGATGTAGGAGTCCCCCATGAAGAAATACCCATAATCCTTCTCCGGGATCTTGGCCACGGCCATCTTCTCAATTCGCCAGATCTTGAGCCCCTCCTTCTGGCCGGCTCCACGGAACTCTGGGTCCACCATACCCATGTTGTTCTTGCGCTGGCGGCGTTACTGGCAGACAACTGTATGTGAATTGAGAAAGAAAGAAGAGTATGACAAAGACTTCTTAAACTTCTAACAATTCATGGAAAACATGAATTGGAACATGGAAAACAAAATACAGATTTCAGGATTATGTACATATATATGTACATCATACATGCATACATACAGATGACATTCGCAAAAGTTGCAGTTTACACAATAAAGCTATAAAGCCCTTCCGACAACTTCCGGGATTTGAATTTTGGGTGTTGGGTTTCTTTTACGGGTACCCATCCCAGCTACCCGGCTACCAGTGTTTTACCTCGACTGGGTGTTTTACTTCGATAGGGCCATCCCTCCACCATACTACCCTACCAGTGGCCACTAAGTAACATCTGGCAGTGCCTATGGCAGGACGATTGCTGGCCTTTTTTTTATGAGGATTCCTTCCATACTGAGTCAACACATAAACACTGCTGTCCTATTACATGTACATTGATACAGTAGTGCCATCACACATGTCACAAGTGATGATATCTTGGTTGATGAGACATTGATTTATTTATGAAAGGCAATCTTCCAGTAAATGCACTCAAGATATCGTCAGAACACCAGGTATGTCTGTTATTCTTAAAGGGACCAAATCTCTGATGTTTCCATGTAGTATGATGCACCATGGAAGAATCCTCCATGGATGTACTGACTGTTGAGGATATCTAACTTTTCATTTAAATAAGACTGTAAATGGTTTGCATAGAGGAGAATCAATTTACTCCTCATTTACATGTATCATTATGAGGAGCTTTTTGTTTGCACCATGTACATGTAACTCTTGAGAGTTTGGTGTGGTTCTAAATCTAAGAAGATATCGATAACTGGACGCATTAATTTTAATTCAACTTTGTGTTCTGCTCATCTTAAAAAAAAAAGACAAAATGAGCAGTGTTTGAAATTTCTAATTACACACTACTCAAGAAAGAGATCCCAAGTGCTACAGAAACACTCCTTGTTATGGTTTAACTTAATTCTTTTGGCAAACTTTCTTTCCATGGGATTTTGGTGCTAAAGACCAAACTGCCACATATGTGCTGCAACTTTATGAACAAAAGTTGTGAAGAACACCGAGGGAAAGATTTCCATATACGAAGTTCACTCAACACCCTGCGTTCAAACCCTATGAGATTGGACTGACAAATTCTAAGTGTTTTCTAAGAAAATGCTTGTATTTTCTCACTGCTCAAATTGACTTTGATGACATGAAATTGCTATCTGGGGGCTTGTTAGTCAATACAGAGGAAAATTTGTGAACTTCGTATAATGGAAATCTTTCCCACTGAGGGGTGTCAGTAAAAGTGTACAATCGTACTATCACACATCTCACAGACTGATATGCCAGTCTAATGTTTCCAATTCACAAAATTGCATTTCCCTACAACAATTGGATCAAATCAATAAAACGCATATGGGAGAACCAAATACACGTTGAAAAGAAATAGACCTTGAACAGGCTGCATGGTACATTGTATGTCCATGTACCATGACGAAAGACTTTCAACCCAATTAGAGTGTGATCGTAATGTAAATTGCACACACTAAACCCAGCTAAAGCTTATTCTAGGTCAAACAAGTGACCCTTTCATGTTTACTTTTGTTGATAACCACCAACGATCAAGTGCTTGACTCAATAAAATATATCAATTTCTAATTTCATTCTGAATTTGCTCAGATCGTTCCAGACCGAGTCGAACAAAAATCAGGAAATCAAAAACAGAACAACTTGCAAGCTGTAGTGAGTCCAGTTTTTTTTACTCTAGTCCAACTTATTACTTAGTATGCACTGTACCGGTAATTTTGCTTGTGATTTTAAGAATGAAATCCAGAGCTACACAGGGACTTGACAAGTCTAGCCAGTAGTGCACTAGTCAGGCACCACACCCACCAAACATGCGCAGCCCTATATATGGACATTGGCCTTGTGTGAGTGTGGCTCAGTCAATGACACACCTTGTTCTAGGCAGGAACAATGAGTGTAGGCCGGTAATACAATAGCTTTGTACAGCGTGTGACAGTTGCGGTGAGGGGCCGCAATGGCCTGACATTGTGGTCCCACTCCCACTGCACTGTGCGCAAGGGTGTGAATGTACCATGCATGCAGGCCAATGCATGAATTTAATAGGCATGTTACATGACATTTCTAGAAATTTTACCTCTTGCACCTTTTCTCGTTCAACAAATTAAAATTAAAACAAGGCATTCATTAACCACAAAGTACCGGAAAATAAACTCAGAAGTAGTCCTCCATATTTGTAGCACAATAAAACAATCTCATCTTTTTCCAAAAAAGTGTATCGTTGTCTACAAGTTGACATTACAATTTTAGGCAGCCAGACTATGTATAAACAAACAAGTAGATTTCAGACTTGTCCAGAACTTGAGTTAAGTAAAAAAAAAATTACCATTTCATCCCCGCCTGTTTCCTTTTTTTCCCGGCCACCCCCCCCCCCTTTTTAAATTCATACATTAGAATATTTTGCACAGATAGGCCCTACATGTATTGTCTTTTTATTTGTTCCAAAACAATTTTAGCTACAAGACCATGTACATGTATGAAGAACGGGGTTGTAGTCGAGACCTCCATATCCGAGACCGGGGCATTCGAGACCGAGACCGAGACCAAGACCGGGACCAGTTTTTGAGACCGAGACTCGACTTCCGAAGGCCAAGACCGAGACCAACACTGAGACCAAGACTTCCGAGACCGAGACCAAGCATAAAGAAAAAATAAAAGAAATCTCACATTTCCAAATATAGTATTGGCAGGCGGAAAAAAAATCAAACATATATTGGATGAATTTCCTACCAGTACCCAATTGATTTTTAATGTAAATATAACTAACAAACTATGCAAGACCTTGCCCCCAAAAACAGTGTCTAAAATGTTGTCAGTCAGGTGAATTCCGATTTCAAAATTAGGCCCTTTAAATTACTGCCTAAATTAAAGAACAGTGTTGTAGTCAAAGTTTGGTGAAGTCGGTGTACAAATTGCTGCAAACAAAGGTCAACCTTTACTTGCAGAAGGCTTATTGTTGAACGTAAAGTCTAGCAAATACTCCCTAAATGTCAGAAATGAAGCACAAGAACGTGTTACATTTGCATATGCAAGCGCTGGTGGTCACGTCTAGGATAGTGCAATGTGTACCAGTGAAATAGGTGAGCAACGTAACTGTGCACGGGTACCGATACCGAATTGCCAAGCTGAATTGACTGGTTCTTATTCCAGCTTCAATCTTCTTCTTCAGCATGAGACTTACACTTCACAAATTCTTTTATGTCAAATTCTTTTATGTTTGGAATAATAATTAATATGTTTAGAACTCCCCATGTAATGGAATGAAAGAGTCCTGACTTGCATAACAGTGCGCGATTGGATCTCACTGCAAAATGCACTGCGCTGCTTGCATCTGAATAACGGTGCGAGAACGTAAATCGCTAGATTTGTCACAACCTGGCCGATTACGTATACCAGCCGCGTCGATGGAGTTCGACTGAAGTTCACAGACAAAATACGACTTGTCATCAAATCTAGCATTAGGCCAAAAAAAAAGTCTCCGGTTTCTGGTATGCGCGCGCATCGCCGTAGCCATGCGCGTCGGCAAAATGAAAAAGTTTTTTTTTCAATGAAAGATGATGTCTCAAAACCGCCAAACTCACTGGTTTGACTGGAATCCTGCTGCTGCACAATTTTAACATGTTTTTAGATTGGGTTATGGTCGAGAATAAGCTTTATGTGGCCTCTCTGGACTCCCATATATTTGCACTAAGTTTAGTCGGGCACCATTTGCAGTCATCAGCCGACATTTGAAGCAAAAAAAATCAGGTAATAAAAAAAAAAGCCGCGTCGCCGCACCACTTTTTGGGCAAGCTCCATACCAGAAACCGGAGACTTTTTTTTTTGGCCTTATCCCACAACTAGAGTAAAAGATCCCTTATTCACTATTCAGATCAATGAAATCCAAAAGATTTTTTTCTTTTTGATCTCAATTCAGCAGAGTAAGGATGGAGTAGTTCCAAAACCCTAGTGCTCCTCATATTTTGTTGCAGAGATTTAGCCGCATTTCATTTCAGAAGAAGACACAGCACATTGGCACAGGATACAGTGGGGAAATCTGTTTGTGCATTGGGAATGCCAGATCATTTAAAGAGGTTGTGGAATGCTCGAAGACATTTCCGTCATTTTTTGGGTATATGTAGCCTAAGGTGTGATGAAATAAAAACGACTATTGTTTCTGTCATGAAATTAGTACAAAGGTTACTTTTGAGAGCTATTTTTCAGGTCCTGTTTCGACCCGAACGTGCAATTTGTGTAAAAGTCGTCGTTGCGGGCAGCAAACAAAACATACTACTAAATCGTGACGTAATAAACAGGACTCGTTTATGCTACTCTGCATCGGGAGTCCTGTTTATTACGTCACGATTTACTGTGTTTTGTTTGCTGCCCGCAACGACGACTTTTACACAAATTGCACGTTCGGGTCGAAACAGGCATGACAGGACTTGAAAAACAGCTCTCAAAAGTACCTTTTGTACTCATCTTATGACAGAAACAATAGTCGTTTTTATTTCATCACACCTTAGGCTACATACCCGAAAAATGACGGAAATGTCTTCGAGCATTCCACAACCTCTTTAAAAAAAAATAAAATGGGTGCTTGGTTCATTTGCATTGATGTGATGACATTTCAAACTCAAGGACCTCAGTCACTGTCTGCCACATTAATCCCATGGTCACTGGTGTTATAAATTGACCAATCTACCGTAGGGGCAGGGCTACATTCACGTGGGTAACTCTCCATGCTCTCAAAAGTTGGAGAATCTTGCGTGCGCACTGCATTCGGAACACATCGCTTGAAAGGTTGATGTTGTTATTTTAACAAGAGTGACTTGCACAAACGGAGCAAAATTGAATGTAAAAATACAAATCAAGGGAAAGAGTTCCATACCTGGACATCACTTGACGCCCTGTGCACAAACCCTATGACACTGGTCTGAAAAATTCCAAGTGTTTTCTCAGTAAATGCTTCAAAATGTTCAATGTTTTCCCTGCTAAACTTGACTTTTTAGGACATAGCCTTTCTGATGGCTGATACATGTAGGTCACTGCAGGGAAACATTAGTGATGTCCATGTATAGTATTCTTCCCAAATCTATTTTCATATTATTAAGAAGTATTTTTTCTTTTAAATAACATTTTCCATGTCCCAAGAACACAAATGCCAAAGAAAGAAAAATAAAAGTCATTAATTATATTTAATATTTAATTAAACAACTCGGCTCTATCTCATGTTTGCAACTAGCTAAGTGGATGTTCACTATACAATGAAAGTCAACTGTCAATGGAGAGTTTGATACAATAGATTGGGCTTATTTACGCCATAGACTTTGCATACTATTTTGCCATAACTTGCAAAATGATACCCGTCAGTTAAGAGGCTCTAAATGACGGAATGAAAGTTGAGTGCCACTTATCTGCCGCCGAACACATCAATGCTCACCTTACCTTGTGATTTCATTCCAAGACAAATCCAGGAAGCTCTGTACATGTATAATTTATGCGAATACATGTCATGAAAAATGTGTTTTTTGGAGCACATTTTTCATGCACACATTTTTGGACAGCAGACATTGTGGGCAGCAATATCGACAATGATTGAAGAGTCTAGTCAAGTCTAGCGATGCGCATGACATCAACGACGCGTGGGCCAATGACAGTGCAATACATCATTATGAATATTTAATTTCCCATGAATATTTAGTTTATTAAATACTCATTAATTACTCTTATTTCAATGGATACATTAAAATACAGGAAGCAACTTTTTAGCGCTTGAAAATAAATCAGTGTAAAGTTGAAAAAACTTGAAGTCCTAGTACGCAATTCTTTCCGAAATGACAATTGTGCAGACCAAACGTATCCAAACTTATAAGGACGACACCAAAATTTACCGACACAATTGCAAAATTCCCTGCCACTCGATCTATGCACCTCGTAGCCGGCTACAGCGTCACGGTTGTTTGCACTCAATAAACCTTCTCAGCGCTACCTGTATACATGTACTACTAGGCCTACACACGCACGTCATGCTCCACTGTACTCCTAGAACTATGATGCTCCGCAGACTCCACTCTGCGGAACATCATAGTTCTAGGAGTAGCTCCACTGCACTCCCACTCCGTATCCGCGTAGCCGGCAACAGGGTAGGCCTAGACCCCTAGTTGGTTTGGACTTAGAATTTTTTACAGCAACTCCCATTCGTTTTATGTTGCTTCGTTCTCAAGCATATCAAGCTCAGGGGACTCCCACTTCGTAGCTGGGTAGCCAGCAACAGGGTAGTTGGTTTGGACTTTCAAGTTTTTCAGCAACTCCCATTCATTTTGTGTTGCTTCGTTCTTAAGGGGACCCCCACTCAGTTACCCGCGTAGCTGGCAACATTTGGTTTGGACTTAAGTTGAATTGTTTCTTTTCATGCTTTTCCACTCCAGTCATGCCAGTGATTCCAACCGCCAGTGACCGCGTAGCCAGAGATTTTAGGAGTGTATTTCCAAGTGGCGAGGTATTCTGCAATTACTCCCTATCTACACCATTACTTAGTGAAGAAAAAAAATCGGAGGCACAGGCAGACTCCACTTTATCTCGATTTCGAATATACCGGAAGTTGTTCAGATCTGCATGACCCGGTGCAGTAACCGGACCCATACGCCTTGGCCTAGCCTACATGATTACTTTGGCCCGGTGAATTAGCTTGAACGGGTTTTTTTCTCACAATATATATCAAATTTACAGACTTGTCAGTCACTCGTAAACGCATATTACAATAAACTATAAGAGCTACAATCTATTTTACGATTTCTACAAAGTGCATAAGCTTTCCTTACCTTAAATTTCAGACGAAAACTTGAATTCCAGAAGATTCCAGCTCAATGAATCGTGCGGTACATGTGTGAGATGCAGTGCGATCGATGGTGCACTGCCACTAGTTACTTTTATCAATTATATCGCGGGAACCAGCGATGAGAACACACCCATGAATGAATGAAGCGGCTTCTAATAAACTTGATCCAGTCGTTTGGCATTTAATCATATTTGTTTTCGAACACTGTGGTTTTCTCCTCCGATCCGTCGTTTTTGAGAAATATATTGACTTATTATTGAGGGCAGAAAAACTTAAGGAAATAAAGAGATTAAAATAAAAGAATTTCCGAACAAATTGATGTTGTGGGGTTTAAATTTTATTTAAGTGAAGCAGCTGAGGTCCGCATAATGCAGGCTACAGGGTAGGGTGGAGTAATATAGGTTGGGGACAGAGTCCAAGTTTGTTCCGCGTGAGTGGTTGCGTTCGATTTGTACTTGCACATGCACCATATGGGGGAGCGGTCCGTTCTCAAAAACACCCCCGATCTTTCCCTCAAGGAGAAATTGATCCTAGATAACCAACGACAAAAAGAGAAACTCCTCTGCTATGTGAGACGCGGAAAAGCACACTGCGTAAACCTAAGTTAACCGTGTCCCGTCAGGTATTTAGGTTCCTTATGATGACGGGCTATGAATTTCGCTACTGAAGACAATCTATAAATAAGCATAGAGCAAGGAACAGAAGCCATAGCGGTAAACATCATTGCTGCGGCCTTACAACCAACTGCGACCTCCAAGTCCGGAATTTCTCACATCCAGGTTTCTAGTCAAGTTTCATTGTTGAAATATCGAGAACATGTTTCCATTTCGGGACTTGAGAGACCTAAATGTTCCTGGCTGTGTACACAAAGAAAATAAAATGTCTATATAAAAGAACGAAACTAAAACCTTTCGTCAAAGGAAAACAGTAGCACGCTTTTATCGCATACTTGGCTCTAATCTGACTCTAATCTGGTAAATGCGATGAGCACATTCATGTGCCTCTAGACATATTGAGGGCGCTACGATACCTGAACGGTTACGAATCTGGACAGTAGAATTGTGAACACAAAGATTTCAGTGTGGTCGCAGTCTTGAGTTTCTGGCATTTGTGTGAACATTTGTGGTGAAATGATGTATCTCGTGCATTTAGTGTCGGACCCCTCCCCCTTTATTTTCCATTGTTGCGAATGTTGTTACCTAGAAACGTTTGCAATTATTTAAGAGCTTGGATGGACCCAAATCCGCCTAATTTCTTAAGCAAAAATAATAAGGAAACTATAGATCGGGTTCTAGTTACCGAATGCCACCCATATTTTCTTTTCTTGATAGCCAATGTAAGCTCAAACACAGTGTATGCAAAATAGCTAATCCATAATGTTTTACAAATATTTCTAGCAAATACCACATTTCTAAATCGTGCGGTGTGCAATGGCGGATCCAAGATTGTCTAAAAGAGGGTGGCAGATGTGTCATAGTGAAGATTTTTCGGGGGGGGGCTGTGGTGGATGAGTCGTTGCAGTATTAAACGTATAAACAGATCATAAAGCCTGAAGCATACAGTGGAATAATAATTATTATGATTTGCAACATTGAGTGACGACTTTAAAGGCGTATAGGATCCTTTGCAATTATCGCAAAAGTAACCTACCGAATTAATATCAAACAGCTTACTTGGATTAAAGATATCAGTACCATGAACAACCAGTGAAAATAGTCCGTCTGGCATTCTGTCATTAAGAAAACAATCAAGAAATAAATGGAACCGAACAAAATGCATGAAAAGAAAATGATCCTATATATGCCTTTAAGAAAATTTGGGATTTTCTTTTTCGCATTATATATGACTTAAATAATTATTTTTGGTCGGGAGGGAGGGGGGTAGCCACTCCAACCACGCCCCAGCCTTGACTCAGCCCTCCAATTTTCCAGTTTCACTAAGAAGAAAGCTTCTTCTGTTATTATTTCTGCTATGTCACAGTAAGCCACAGACAAACCTTTCACGGACGTCCCGCTCCCATAATATTAATTTCACTTCATAGCAACAAAGTAAGCAAATAGTTGTTATTTTCTAACCACATACGGGTGCGGCTCTGTTTGTATGGGTTTGGAACGACAAAGTAAATCATTAAGTTTCACCATTTCTTAAGATCATTAAAGGGCACATGCCATGTAATGTTTCTAATGCAATCCTTGAAAATGCACCTTATAGTGTCCTCATTTAACCTTATTTTCAATTCTCGTTTTGCCATTTTCAAGGGTATTGTGGTTCTTTTTGGTTTTTATGCTAATGTAAATTTCCATACTCACGAGCAAAAGTGCAATGTCATTTCAGGGAGAAACCTCAATAATTCAGCTATTTCAGCATTTGTTTATTTATTTAATTTTATTTTGTGTTATTTTACCAGGGTAGCCCCATCAGTTGTCAATGAACTGTTCTCCCTGGGGGCCCTGGATTACATAAAACATGATACAATAATGACAAAAATACAAAAAGTAATATCAAAAGTTGCCAGAATATTTTGGGTGCTTTGCTGCTAAATTTTCTCAGTTTCTTTGGCGATTCGTTTTGTGTCCGAACCTGGCAGTAAGCCAATGAACATGGGCGTCGCGAGGGGGGGGGGGGGGGGGGGGGGGCAACGAAAAAAACGAAAAAAAGGAACAAGGGGGAAAAAAGGAAAAATTATTTTGAAGGGGGGGGTGGGTAGGGCAAATGCTCCCCTACTCACGCTAGAAAAAATGATAAATTGAGAATATAATGAAATTTGCTTTGCCCCCCCCCCCCGAAAAAAAATCCTGGCGACGCCAATGCCAATAAAAACTTTTCTCACATATATGTTTTTAATGCGCAAATCTTTGGGTTTACAGTTTGAACAGCAAACCCCTAAACTGAACAGTTTCTTCCTGAAACGACATCACAGCAACAGCGCTCTCAGTTTTCCGGAAAAGCATGGACACTTTGTTAAATGTTTAAAGAAGTGCACTTTTCAAACAACCAAAAGGGATAATGCCAAATAGTTTTCATACATTGAAAGGAGGACGGAAAGTTGCACAAAATGTGTTCCTAAGAAAGATTCATCTCAAGATCCCTTTAAGTGTATGACCACCTATAGCAAATACCAAATCTGAGGCCTTGGTAGGGGGCGTGGTCCCGCCCGTGCAGGATATGACCTGATCATGTACATGTAAGTGAGTATGTCTAGTAATGTGCGGTGGTAACAGTAAGTTACAAACACCCTGCGTAGTTGTCATCATGTATTCCTGGTACTCAACCGGTACTGGAAGTGCTATGACCGGACGGTCTCTGTTCAAGCTACATTGCATGCCATAGGTCCAATTAGTTCAAGCCAGAGACAAGACACAAGTCAGTGCGTGGTGGATTTTTAAAGTTGCTTTCTCGATCCCCGTGACTCTTTTCGTGTTTGGTCCCGATAAATAATTATCTTTCATTGCTAATATTTTTATATATATTGAAAATAATAATACAAAAAAGTTATTTACTTTTAAATTAATGACACATGGAGCAAAATAAATATATCGCTAACGTTTAGTTATCGAATAATTATTGTGCAAATTTCGATTTAGTTGCAGCCCGACAATAATCCAGATGGATCTCTTTTTGTTCGAAAGTGAACCAAAATAAAAGTTTATTTTTCAAAGGCAGATCCAACTTGAAGGGGAAGGTTTGCGGGGAAAAAACGTTTCCTTCAGTTGCCTGAATAACGTCATATTATTGCAGATCTAGCTCATTCAATGCTTTAGGCATTTGGCCTCTATGAGTTGACTTCAAAGTCTAGTCCAACCCCCCCCCCCCCCCCCATCCCCCCTCCCAAACCCCATCCCTCTAAAAATCCTGGACTTCAACAACCCCAGCCACCCGTGGACGATCCTGGTTCTGCCATTGTTTTCAATTACGCCATTTCGTCAAAATAAAATATACAAATTGAAAATTAGTTCGGAGAAAAATATCGAACTTGTTCAAGTGTTTTACCATAAGGTTTTACTGAAGGGGAATACAATGTGCCTCTCCCACATATGGGCCTAAGTTGGACTCACAGTTTCTATTTTGGATGTGTTTTAGAGACTTTCTTGGTATAGGTGGGGGCGGGCTGACGTCATCCGATGTAAACATCTGTTCGTTTGCACACCAGTTTTCATTGGTTGCTATGTGTTACCATTCAGCAACCTAGATTCAAGAACAATTGAGTTCCAAGAACATAGGTATGGGAGCTACGTAAAGCCAAATAATGTTAAAAAAATAAAAAATAAAAAAATCCCGGATGTCCGCGCCCATCTATAACGAACTTAGCCGAGCTAAACCGAAGCAATTATTGCTACCGTCTAGGATAGTGTATCAACAGAAGAGACAAACAGATGCCGCACGGCCACGATGTAGTGAATGCGCTGTGTTAACGACAAATCCACGTCGCGTAACTACGAAATTTGCCGCTTACCATGCATGGAAGTGTCTTTTAAAAAAAAGTTGTTTGTTGAGATGATTATTGTTGGACTTCCCTTAACCGTACGACTTTCTGAATTGTGAATAAATTGATAAGAAAAACATCGCCCTCTAGCGTCAAAATAGCCCCCCCCCCCCCCGCTTTTCGAATTTGCAGCGCTTGCGGTGGCCTGGAATTTTGTTGTTGGGTCCGTCCTTGATGCCCCCTCATAATACGCCGGTCCCCCCCCCCCTCCTTTCCAGCCGGGTGCCCCCATTGAAAATCTTGAATTGATCAAAAATATAACTTGATATCATAGTGCCCCCCACCCCCCATGCACTTAAAAATTGTATGCACCCCAAGGTGCCCCCGCAGAAGTTTAACCCTATAGTTACGCCATTGACCGAATCTCAAATTCATAATCACTACCAAGCTAATTAACAAAGTCATTTTTAAGTATTAAAAACAAATAGTGCTCCTTTAAAAACTAAACCACGCAACAAGGCGCACAAAAACCGTGATCTGTCACCCAAATTTAATGTGACTTTATGGGCAACATTTTGAAGTCATGATGTAATTTGGCAATGACTAAGTTCACGATTCTACCACGTCCGGGTATGCTGGCCAATTCACAGCTGGGTTTGTGGACAACTTTTACTAGGAAGATGACGTCACTCACCCTCGCAACCGGTCCTGGACTGTTATTTAAGGGCAAGTTCGGGTGATCGGACTCACATTTTCAGAGTGAAGCTAGCAGAATATTTCTCTTATAAGACGAGTTCAGCTTTTTATAAACTTTTTAGGTAGTTGGAGTTGTTTCAAAATGACTTTGACTTTTGTGTCTGTAGTTGCCCTCATTGCAGCGGTGTTATCGGCACGAAGTGTGACTTCGTCACCCGCGATCTTGGTAAGTACACCATGCAGGTTCTTCCCATGAAATTTACTCTTTCACTTCTTTGAAAAGTGTTTGGAGGACAGTTTTTTTCATCGTGCGTCAAATCTTGAGAATGCAAACAAAGTTCAAGAAAGGAATTCAACTGTTCATCTGTTTTTGTTTGATTTTAATGAATCACACGGTAAAAATGAGGAGTTGGCCATTTCGAATCGTTGATTGCGGTTTTTCTATAAGTGTAATTCATTTTGAAGAGATTACCCTGTTCACGATAAGAGAACGCTTTTACATTATGCTGTAAGATACACTGTATTAAAAAAAATTATCAAAAGGTGGGGAGGTATGTCTTTTCTGACCAATAATAAATTCAAATACTGAACGTCGAAAAAGGATTTTCGCTTGTGAATCAGAGTGGTATTTTTTTACAAGAAATTAAAACCACAGTTTAGGCCTAAAGTTATTGGAAGCAATTGTTTTATAACTTGTTTATAAGTGTTGTTTTGTTTTTGTTTTGCCTGACGCATCACTGAAGTGAAATTTTGACTGTGCATTGATTGATATTGCTGGTCGATTTAATTTCATCAACGCATCTACGACGGCTCTATTGCAATGAAGTGATAAAATGAGCACGGCAAGGAGCGAAAAGAGTGTTGCAACTTTGTCTTTCCTCGCAAACAAAATAAACCAAAAGAAAGCGCTTTTGCACAACTGGTATGCGACAAAAATAAATTTCAAACTGTCTTCTTATTCCTCAACCAAATTGTACTAGGGAAAACACATACCTGATGGCCATTACACAAAGCAAAAGTAATACTTGAGCGTGATACAAGTTGAGGTCAAGGATATGAATCGGAAGTAGAATACAACTCGTTACTTGTACCCTTAAAGTTTCAACAGATGTTTTTTGCAATTGCCGAAAAGGTGTGTTTTCAACTTCCATGCTAGCTTTACCTGGAATAATTGAGTATTCGGATTTGTTTTGGTTGGGAAATGTCGTTTGTTGATGGCCTTGACCTCAACTAAATTGACCTCTAAAAAGTACGGCTTGGAGTGTCGACGGATGTTTCAAAGTATGAAGGTATATAACAGTTAACCGTATATTCGACTTTACAAAGTAAAATGACCTAGTTAACTGTGATTGCCGGGGAAAAGACAATCTTTTCTTCAGTGGAAATTGCGCGAACAGATCGATGGTCCACACAGCGGTTTATTTTGATTTGGTTTGGGATGCCGGAGAGAGAACAAAGTGTGATTTTTTTTCTTAAACGGGACCCCATTTTTATCCTAGCTGCAAATGATGTAACAAGACTGTTACCGAAACATACAGCACAATCTCATCGCCCTTTTAACAACATTATTCTTCGTAAACAATACACATAGGACTAATCAAAGTGACTTCACCAAACAAACGTTCGTAATTAAGCATTCTAAAATGAAGTCACTTTTTTTCTTTGTTGGTAAATTAATCAGGACGGACATGATCTTACGCATGAAGACATCAAAAGCTACTTCGGAGGAATCACCGTGACATCCAAAAATGGTAATGTGAACTCATCTGACAATATGACCTACCCGTTAGTTTTCGGAATTCTCAAGCTTTAATTTTGAGTTTAAAAAAATATTAGGAAGAAGGCTCAACGCTATTTATATCCGGACTATTCTGGAGAAACAAAACCAACAGTGCTCAGAGTTTGGCTTTTAACAGGCCAAGAAAAAAACTATACTTGAACACAGATTCTTTGCACGCCAGGAACTCTTTGTGTGTAATAACGTGTAGAGTCTTACCCCCCAAAAGTGGAGTTGACCCTTTTTGTTGTCGTGTAATAATCCATTCCCATCCCTGGACTTATTAATTAATCAAACACAATTTTGGCAAATCTTTTCCTGTAGGGGACCCAAATTACGACATCGTGGACATTTGGGACCTGCCCACCGACTCTCCCACAAAACAACCCCTCCGTGATGCCGTGCCGCACCGCCACCAACACGACGTCCACTTCACCGCGTTCCGGGAGGACTACCACCTCCGCCTGAGCAAGAACCCCTGGCTGGCCCGGCAGGGGTTGCGGATGGAAACGCTTGGACGGAACGGCACGGTGGTGGCGAGTCAGGAGGTACAGAGGGACTGCTACTACTTCGGGGAGTTGGTGTCGCATAACAGCTCGTCCGTTGCCATCAGTAAATGCAACGGTTTGGTAAGAAGTCAACTCATTTTGTCAGCGGTCTTTTTATACGGTTTCAGAATGTTGCCGTGGTGTTTTAACGATTGCATCAATTATTATTTCACGGTTGACATTCCTTACCATTTCTTTGTTCCAACCCCTCCCCTCCCCCACTCATACAATATTTTTGAATTGCTATTTTCTCGCAGTAAAAAAAGTTGTTCGCTTATTCATAAGTTCACTCATTCAAAAAAATTTAAAATAGGATAGGGCAGAACACTGAAATGACGTAAATACTGAAGAATACCGAAATAATGTAATCATTTTTGGAACAAAATCTTATAACAAGGTGGCAGGGCTGGACAAAAGGAACGACTCTACAGTTTACAACCACAAAAGAATGATTAGGCCTTTACAGCCTGAAACAAAGTTTTACATTACATCAAGTGAATGAAAACTAGAGAACGTGTTCCAAAAATGTCGGTGAATTTTTAAGAACAGAATCAGAAACCGTTCGAATTTCATTTAATGGTTGTCTGAAAGTTTCCACAGTCTGAAAATGGGCCCTCAAATGCCCTTTTTTTTTTATTGATTCTGCCTTAAAATGGCCGATAGTTTCCGAGTTTACTCCATTAATGCACTACACAGCAGTTCGGACCATTGATTTTCTTCCTTTTCTCAATACAGGCCGGAGTAATCAGTTACGGCGAACACGACATTTTCATCAAACCCCTCCGACGCGACCACGCGGAGCAATATAGACGGAGACGAAGAGATGCGGTCGACCCTCACGTTGTATACAGACGGTCTGCGGGTGATAGTGACCCGGCAGCTCAGTTCTGTAGCCCGCCGCCACGTAAGTAAAATACGGCGTGGGTTTTTCCATGGTGGATGTTGTTTAGATTTAAATTTTAAAATTTAATCGTTGTCTCATTCGTAAAGATTTGTTTCTGCGCATGCCTTTTTCTGTGATGTAAGGCCTTTAGTCCTATGTTTACTAGAGACTGCACACGTTTTTAGAAAAGTTAAACTATTTAATGTTGATTGTATTTTCGGTTTTTAAATTAATCAATCCATTGATAGACAGTGAAAGAGATTGAATAATAATTTCATTAATTTAATTACAAATGTAGTTATTTATCGAATTTGTATTTTTAAAAATCTACATGTAGTTGGTAGACTAATTATTGTTGACATTTCGAATGATGGTGATAATTTCATTGCAGATTCATGAAACTGATCAGTTTCTTAAACAAATAATATGATTATGGAATATAGTTATTGATTGATTTATAAATTAAACAGACTCGACTGATAATTCATTTAAAATAATCATAAATTGATAATTGAAAAAAAATCGATTGATGATTGATCAGATTGGAATATCATATTCACTGTTTGATGGTCGAAAATCGATCGATTGATTGATTGATTAATTATTATATATCTATACGTGTTTTCTCAGCAATGAAAGATCCCGAGACAGGCATGACAGTCGACGAGGAGATGGTCGCAGCCTTGGACGGCAAACTCCTGCCGTCCTCCCTCCAGACAGGTCAGAAATACATGGAACTCATGGTCATGGCGGACAATGAGATGCGCAGACACCACAGAGACGACTTGGAGTCTTACGTTATGACTATTTTGAATATTGTAAGTCACTTAATATGATATTGCACTTTCAAATTATTCATTATTCACCTTCTGTATTATTCATGGTCCCTTTTCCGTCTGCTATACCGCAGATCATATACTTCATGTTTTTTTCCAAATCCTTTTAATTACATGGTGTGTTTTCGATAACTTTCAACACTGGAGTTGTAGTCGTGAAAATTGCTGAAACTATAAATAACAGGTTTTTTTAGTGAGATCACAGAATGAAAGCCATTGGCACAATCAAACCTTCACTTGGCATTGATCACGTGTCAATCATCTCGGCATAGGCGATGCTTCTAAACTGAAAAAGTAAAACGAAGGAGAAGAAGAAACATAGGCTTACTAATAACTGATGAGATGTTTCTTCTTCCAGGTTGCGCGTCGGTTTGTGGATCCTAGCTTGGGAGCCAATCTTCGAATTCATCTCGTCAAGTTTTATGTCTTGGAAAGCGATCAAGTCGGCTCGGTAAGGATTTAATACTTTTTTTCTTTTTTTTAATCACTCATCAAAAAAAAACCACCAAAGTATATCACAAATCACAAAGTGCCAATCCAAAAAGTGCTAGTGCTAAATCTGTTTCACACTTGAGACAGATTTTGGTTGGAAGTGGAGTTTGTGTTTTTGGAGAAGTCAGAGGTCTTACAATAAAAATTGGAATCTAATAGTGAAACCTCGAAAATGGTCAAGCCGAAGCAACCACATATTCTATTAATAGCATTCCAGTTTACATTGTCAGAAATCTTGCCTCAACTGAATAAAAACTCTTAGTTTGCCTTTAAACCCTCAAGGATATGGGGAAAAACAGTTCAGATATTGAGTTTATTGTAACTCTGTGGCTATCTTTGTTTTGAAATAAATTTAGTGCAATAACAATAATCGTTAAAATAAAAACAACAACTTCTATTTCAAGGGTCGGATGGGTTTTCGACGGAGGATGCTTTTACTGTCAGCAACAATGGCTACCAGCTACTGGATGACTTCTGCCAGTGGCAAGGAACAAAGAACGAAGTTGACGATGTACACCCAGAGCATTGGGATAATGCTATGCTATTAACTAGGTAAGGTGGAGCAGCCATCATATAAAAAAAATAAAAACATAGATGGATCCAGGGGCCATGGGGTCGGGTCATGCCCCTCCCCCTCCCCAAACCAGAGAAGGGGAAAGGACTTCTATTTTTAAATCAAAGCTACTTCATTGCCTTGATTTTTTTTTTAAAGAATGCCCATTCGCATCAAATAAGGTCTGGTCCCCCCCCCCCCCCGATCCCCTGCTTTCCAAATTCACTGCAACTGTTGATCCATTCTGGGTGCCCCCATAAATTACTGTTGTCCCCTACCCCCCCCCCCCCCCCCCCCCAACTGAAAAAAACCCAGGCTACGCCTCTGTTGCCCACATCCCCTCCACCTGCCAAACTGATCAATACATACGTGTGCATAGGTCATAATGCTGTCACATTCAGACAGACAGATCCGAGCGATGTACTAACCTCATCTTGGTTTGTTGTTTGGTTTTTGTCATCTCAGATATAACCTGATAAACCCCACCGATGGCTCCGATTCGCTGCTTGGCCGCGCACCCGTTGGTGGCACCTGCCGTCACTTCCAACAGTGCTCAGTGAATGAAGACGATGGTCTAGGCAGTGCCTTGACCATTGCACATGAGACTGGACACACGTGAGTATTAATCAAGCCAATCACAAGTCCAGCCAGAGACTAGTGATTACAGACCAGTGATGTATGGGACCAATTTGCATTTGGGTAGATGGGAGGCAGAGCCTTGTAATTTTATGGAGGGGCAATCAACAAGCCTCTGTACTGATGACGTCACACTTTGTTTACATTTGCGCTGGGGGCCCACGGTCCACTGAGCACCATAGGAAAGCACACACGTAAACAAAGTGTGATGTCATCAGTACAGAGCTTATTGGTTTGTCATTTTAAAAATAAAGGTCTATTTTTTTGTGGTGTAGGCCTGCAGGTTTGGAAAGGGGGGGGGGGTTTTACTGCCAAAAATGTGTGGGTATTAAGCATTGGCTGTGGTTTTGTGCATGATTTTTCTATTTTTTGGGCAGCCGAAGACCCCCCTTCTTCATAGATCTGCCAAAAGTGAAGACACAATAGGAAGCAAGGGGGAGGGGGGTTGCCTCGCTTCCTCTTCCCTCATATATTTCTTATGATTTTGACTTATGACTTTATTACAGCTCAGTTATTTTGGGGCAGGTAAACTGAACGAAATGATGGATTATCCAGACCAACATTTTCAAAACGGGAACATTTTCAACAGGTCAAAATGGGAACGAATAAAATTATTTTCCAGTGTGACAACCCCAAAATTAGCAATAAGAACAGAAACAGCTCTGATGATGGCTACGAACTAAATAGATTTGCCTTTTTTTTTTCAGACTGAATTTGAATCATGACAGCACTTACGGTTGTCCAGACGGCATCAACATCATGTCTGGGCTTCGATCCGCTGGTGAGGGAGCCCTCTCTTGGTCTATGTGTAGTCAGACTAATATCCAGGAGTTCCTGAGGTAAGACCATCTTCAGCGATGATCTTCATTTCTTGACTGAAACGTTGACAAAAGGAAACTATATAGATATACACAGTTTGACAGTTATTGTTCAAGAGCCCATTCAACTAATGCAGTTTACTTTACTGATGTAGTCATCAACATACTTGTTTGATTCTAACTTTAGGAAGTAGGATAAAACTTGACTTGTTAAAATAAACGTACTTTTTAATTATAAATCCTCGGCTCAATCTTAAGAAATGATGCATTCTTATTTGACAAAACAACACTGAATATCACCAACAGCATTGTGACTACATTCATATCATAATCTAGAACTAGTTAAACCAACAAAGTAATTTAATAACAGACAATAAGTTTTGATATGAATGAAGGGTTAATGAACAATACCTTTTTCTTTTGGATGATATCAGAAACCCAGTCAGTAACTGCCTGAATGATGAGCCTTTGATGGCACCGCTTTCCGTAAATGAACTACCGGGCACCGTCTACAGCTATGCAGACCAATGCAAACTGGCATTTGACAGCGACCGGTACACAATGCCTGTCGATGGACAAGTATGTAAAATTCAAGTATAATGACAATATCTGTATTGAACAACTTGTAATCTTTGATTATCCTTCTCCAAAACAGAAAATGAAACTAGGTCCACATTATGTGGTCTATCTTGGTAAGGGTTTGTGACTCATAATCATATGGTCAGCTGAGTGATTCAAATTTAGCTGTTGGTTATACATTGTGTTCATGGGCAAGCATGTTTACCTCAACTTGCCTCTCTTCATGGGTACAAATTGGTGTCAGCATTAGTTTTGGATTAATTTGGACTGGCATCCCATCCAGAGGGAACAGAAATGTTCCCAGTCACAGACTTTCTTACAAACTAGTACCTCACTATTTTTTTTATTATTATTATTATTATTAATTCTTTTTTTTTGGGGGGGGGGGCAATTTTATACATATTCTTAGGGACTGAAACTAATTATATAATATTTCTGTGAAGGTTGACTGCACTGTTCTGGCTTGCCAAGATCCAAGCAGGGCTTGGCGATCTAAAGGCACTCCAGTTATGGAAGGGACCGAGTGTGGGACTGATAAGGTAAGCCTTTGAATTTGATAATAAACTAAATAATAAATTGCTGTTCTCTAGTGAGGGGTTAGTTGGAAATGTAATAAATTTGATGTGTTTTTTTTATTTGCTTACCAAAAGTGAAATATTGAAATCGTGGCCAAAAGTTGGTTAAGTGATAAGTTGGAATATTGAAGGGAAAAAAAGAGAAATATTTTCAACAGGAGTCTGGCAAGCAGGGATGTAGTCGAGTCGAACACAAGTCCCTGCAAAGTCCATCACTAGTCCTCCAGTCTGAATCCAACTCACAAGCTTTAAATAAACTTTGACAAGGGCATTTCCTATAGTTACTGTTCATCCACAGTTGCTTGTGATGGACTTGTGATGTACTTGCAACTGAACTTTTTTGTGACTGGACTTGTGATTTACTTTTGACTGGATTTTGATGTACTTGTGATGGACTTGACTACATCTCTGCCGGCAAGCTATTTATACTTTATAAATACTTACTAGTTTATACTTTTAGCAAATAAGATTTTCTTAGTTATATGTGCATCAACTGAAGAGATTCATAGAAAGTGATATTCATTTGTCCAAGTTCTGCAGGTCTAATTATTTGTTAAAAAGTTTCAAAATGATATTCGGTTTTTCTTTTCCTCCTCCTTAGTGGTGCATTAATGGTCAGTGTGTCCAGCGTGAGCCTCTGCCCGATGCTGTGGATGGTCAGTGGTCGTCCTGGGGCGGTCAGTTTGGATCGGCTGAGTTTGGACCCTGCTCCCGATCCTGCGGGGGCGGTGTTCGGTCCAGAATGCGCTACTGTGACAATCCTCCGTAAGGGAACTCCCAATACATTTATATATTCATTGCGTGAACTTATCTTACTATAATTCCAGGAATCTCTGTGAATTTTATCCCACGGAACTACTTTTCCAGTCTGAATATTACATTGTCATTTATTTTTTCAGACCCTCCAATGGTGGCAGGGGGTGTGAGGGCAGCAACACGGAGTATATGGTCTGTGAAACACAGGTAAGAAGTTGCACTTTTTGGAGTTGTATAATTTGTCCCGGGTGGTGTGTTCTTTCTGAGAACTTGTAAGGAAAAACACAGAAGAACAATACAGCAAAGAAGAATTGTAAAAACAATCTTTTTGTATTGCTTGTGTACATTTGTAGAGGGCGGATCCAGTTTTGGTTCAAGGGGAGGGGGTGTTAGCAAGCATGTACTACCTTTTTTCTGTATGATTTAGGGGGACAGCGGACGAACTAAATCCCCCATAGATCCACCACTTCGTATAGATACTATCACGGAAGGAGAAAACACGAAGGCATCAGCAGAGTGCATATGAATGAAGAATAAATAGAAATTTCATAGTCAAAGTCAACAACTGAGATGATTATAGTTTACTGCAACTTTGAAGATTATAGTTTATGCCTGAATCATGTCAAAGAACAGACAGTTCTTCAGGCATGCTTCTGCTGCATGTTGTTGTTCTTCCCAACTTTGGAATGACAATGAAGTTGAAGATATTACAGTGGAAAGGAAAGCAATGGATTAAATTATTACAAAAATAGGAAATAGTGAGTAGAGGGGTTGGAGGAGGTATAGTGTTATCAAGGCTCTGTATGATCTTTATAATTATTTTTTTTCCAGCCATGTGCAACTTCACAAGATGACTTCAGAGATGAGCAGTGTATGGCATCCAATGACATACCACTCAATGGTGTCACTTATAACTGGGTCAAAGGCTTCACAACAGAACAAACAGGTAAAACAAAATTTAAAAGAATATTTTTGGTAGTTCAATCAGTGCTGTTTTACAAGTGCTCAATGTCACAGTTGCTTGCAAGCTTGAAAGAGGCACATATGCGGAGAAAATTATAAAATTATCAGTAAAGGAAGTAAATTGCAGAATTTTATTCAGGTCCTTAAATGTTGATCACAAATCATCATAAGTCAATCACAACCAATCGTAAGTGATCACAAATCAATCATAAGTCATCATAAGTCAATCACAAGTCAATTACAAGGCAATCACAAGCCTCCAGCCTAATGTCAAGTGTTAAGCTTTTCCTTTGTCATAGTTCATCTCCTCAAAGTTTTATGTTTGTGTAATTGACTTGTGATTGACTATGATTTGACTTGTGATTGACTTATGATTTGACTTGATCGACCTGACTTTTACTCTGGCTGCTCAATCTTTGGTGAAGTTTATCAATGACAACGTCAGTTACTTTTATTATATGTTATTGCCTTAGGTGACGAGCTTTGCCAGTACAAATGTCTGAGCGACCAGCGATTCTGGGCCAAGAGGGAGCCCTTTCGATTCACAGACGGCACCCGGTGTTGGCACAACGAGAAGAATGATGCCGGTAAACTCAAGCTGTGTGTGGGAGGTCTTTGTAAGGTATGTGGGAGGGAACCAGAACTTTTGTGAGATTGTGTCCAAAATGGACTCTGTGGCTACAGCTTAGGCTATTTGCTGTAATTTATATATGACCAAAAAAAGAAGTCGTAGCCTTAAAACAGCTAATTCTGAAACAACCATGTTGCCAGGCATGGTTTCAAATGATTTCAGATTGTTTGAAGTGTCTTTTGAAATTCTTTACAAAGAAATATTTTTTATTAATGTACCTTCGTTTGAAAATGTACAACTTTTCAAATTCCCTCAAAATGCAGAACTGACAACTGAACAAACTGAAAAAAACGTATCCACTTTCAAATTTTTCGATTTGAATTTGATGGTCAAAGTTTCTTGACTTGCAACAAGTTTGTAAATATATTTTGCTCTGAAAAAAAAACACACCTTCTTTGGCATTACAGAATTGGCAACTACAAAAACAAAAATACTGTGGTTTGAAAAAATTGAGGTCCCAAACCCCTTTTTCAGAAAAGGTCCTATAAAATTGAAATTGTGTCACAAAAGGGATTTCAGTGCAAAACCAATAAGTAAACTACCGGCAATAATGAAATGAAATTCCAAATATCCATGTAATTTAAATAAGACTCTATGTTTTATTTGAACAGCATTTTGGTTGTGATGGAAGAGAAAACTCCAACTCTGGGTTTGACGTGTGTGGTGTTTGTAATGGTGATGGGTCTTCATGCACTCGCATCTCTGATTCATTCACTGGCGGCTCCAGCACTGGTAAGGCAATCATTACAATCAGAATTTTGAAAGCCTAAGTTATGGTTTTATTGCTCTGGTTTGCTGGCAAGCGAATTCAGCACGCTTTGTGGCTATGAGTTATGATTGCTTGTTGATGGCAGGATGGCTTAGTGGTTTATTGTGGCTGTCTGGCTTGCTGGTGGGCTGGCTAGCTGGCAGGTTGGCTTGCTGGCATGCTAATTGGCTGGCCAACCAGCTGTCTGGCTGGCTGGCTGGCCGACTCCCCTACTGGCTGACTGGTTGGCTGGCTGGCTGGCTGTGACCCAGGTTGTCTCGCCGGTATGCTGAATGGCCGGCTAGCCAGATGTCATGCTGGCTTGCCAACTGACGTACTGGCTGACAGGTTGGCTGGCTGTCTGAGTTGCTGACTGGCTGGTTGGCTAGCATTCTGGCTGGTTGGCTAGCATACTGGCTGGTTGGTTGGCTGGTTGGTTGGCTTGTTGGCCGGCTAGCTGGTTGGCTGGCTGTTTGACTAGCTAGCTGGTTAGCTGGCTAGCATGCTGGCATGCTGGCTGGTTGGCTGGGCGACTGGCTGGCTGGCATACTAGCATGCTGGCTGGCTGGTCGGCTGGCTGGCTGGTGTGATGGCTGCTTGGCTGTCTGGTATGCTGGCTGTTAAATATTAGTTTGCCTATTGGATTCCCACCAACCAAACAATTGTATGGGTCGGTGTTACTGGTTGCCATTGGTTGGCATTCTGTAAATTAGTATCACTTTGATTTGGGTTTCTGAAATACGTCATTGCAAATATCCTTGTGATTTTTTGGTGATTCTGATGTTTAGATTCATATTTCTTCATTTCGCTCCATTTGCAGGTTTCAATCATTTCCTAACACTACCTGTTGGCTCAACTGGTGTAGAGATAGCCAATACTAATGCCCGTTACACTTACATTGGTAAGTAAGATTAAAAAAATCAATCTTTCTTCAATGAGTAAATAAATTATATTGCCAAATTTCAAAGACTGAGTTGCATCCCAGAAAAATAGTCAGCAACAATTGATATTTAGTGAAGTATAGAAGTCACATTTCATGTTCAAATTACTTTTCAATTCATTCTTATTGACCCAAAATGTTTCTAAGATTTTACAGTGTTGTTACCTTTGAACAATGTGCAAATTTAGTAACAGGTAAATATTCATAATTCCTTTTATTTTTTAAAGCTCTTAAAATTGGCAATGAGTACGTCCTGCAAGGCACGGGTAACTACAGACCATCGACAGGCCGCTACAGCGCCGGTAGCTCAGTAGTCCTCTACGAGAATGGAAATGATCTCGAGGAACTTTTCATCCCCGGACCGATCACACAAGCGATTGAAGTGGAAGCTTACTTGTTTCTGGACCCCAACGTCAACTATGTGGGAGGAATCAACGTGAAACCGGACATTCAGTATCAGTATTATGCACCGAGTGGTTCTGGGAGCGGTGTGCAAGAGTCATTCCGGTGAGTGACATTTATTCAGCAATTTATTCATGGCAATAACAATCTGTGTACCAAATTCTACGTACACCATTATGGCCACGCTCAATGTTTACGTCGATGTGGACTGCTGGAATGGTCCGTTTTCTAGCCACAATGCTAGGTCCTAAACTGTGACATTCAGTTTGAGCTCAACTAGGCAAACAAGTCTGAAGAAACCTGTAGAGATAAGTCAATGAGAAGCGATAACAGTCTTAGAGGTGGGAGGAAAACCCAGAATATTCTGGGGAAAACCCACAGAATCAGGTAGGGACTGAAAAGCCTATCCACATATTGGCCCAGGCGGGATTTGAACCCGGGTCACAGCGGTGGAAGGCGAGGAAAGAACCGATACACCAACCTGACTTCCCGATTTAACATTCACTCATCAGACAGCATCGTTGTGTGATGGCTTTGCTGCAATACTTATTGTACAAGTGACATGTGGTGGGTTCGAATCCAGCTAGAGGTTCAAGACCTTTTTGTCCTTGAGCAGTAGAAAGGCAAGAAATGTTTCATTGGGGGAGGGGTTTACAGAAAACAAAATCTGACCATTTTTTGGCCTTGAACAATTTGAAAAGGAAGGAGAAGGGGTCTGACTGGAATTTTTTTACTTTGGTTTTTAATTTTTGTTCCAGTTCTGAAGTCCTTTATCACTGAAAAAAACAGACTTGCCTTTAAAATAACCCCAAAAACCTGAAAAGCAAGAAATAACAAGATAGTCTTCAATCCTTCACTTGAAGTATATCAGTTTAGTTACAAGATAACTTCCAAGCATCGCAAGTCTCATTAATCATACAGCTAGACTGATTCCAACATGTATTGAAATGTATCAACATTATTTGAAATGTAATTGTACTTTTTTTGGTGAATTGTATTCCTGCAGTTGGGTAGGCACCACTTTCACCCCTTGCACATCCACGTGTGGGGGCGGTATGCAGACTCGCTCCGTGAACTGCTACCGGACGTTGAATGCTCGGGAGGAGGTAGTGCCAGATGACCTATGTCCCCAGCCTAAGCCAATCGAACGCCAGGCCTGTAACACCGAGACCTGTCCCTTTGTGATGCTAGCAAAGTGGGAGACAAGCGAGTGGTTCCCGGTAAGCATTTTGAAATCGTAATGGACTCTTTGCAGGAACTGCAACTAATATGTCAGAGCTCTGTCTTTGTGTTATTACCTTCAAATTTTAAATGATAAAAATGCTTCTTTGTGTTACAGACAGAACTGGCCTGACAATAAGTTTATGGGAATTAAGATTTAAAGCCCCTCTGAATATCGATGTTTAAACATTCATACTTTCTTCTCCAAGTTTTTTGATGTAGTTGCTCTTTCTTTTCTTCACAGTGTTCGGTGACTTGCGGTCAGGGAACACGTTCACGGATGGTGCGTTGCATACGTGATGGCGTGGAGGCACCAGGCAGTCCGGAGTGCGACGAAGCTAGCAGACCGGCAGAACAGGAGACCTGCAATCAGGGAGAATGCTCATCAATAGGTAGGGTGCTTGAGCTTTCATGGTTGGAATCTATAAAGCTGTAGGTCCTACTGTCCGTGCTCTTCAATAAACTTTTCCACTTGTTTGTTTTATTTAAAAAAAAAAAAAATTCTCCCTATTCTGGGCATTTGCAACCTTCTGAAAAAAGGCTTTTGTTTTTGGTCGCTTTTGCACACAAACAGCTCCTCCTGTGAGTAGACATGGAACAATATATTAACAGAATCAGTATCAGTCTCATTGGTTTATATAAGTAATTGATAAGATGAGGAATATTTTCTGATAGTAAGACACAGTATAAGGGAAAATCAGTTATGGTAGATCTCACTTATTCTGATTCACGCGCATAGCTGGAGTGTGTGAATTAAGTCATCAGCGTGTGAACCAGAACAAAGATAGCCGACGTCAGACTTTGGTACTCTATTGTGACATCACATACTCAGTTGTTCTATAAATTGATCATTGAAACTGCATGTACAATATACAACTTGAAGTAAAGCAATTTACTCACGATTCCTCTGTATTAATAATAAATCTTTATAAAGCATCCATATCCACAGGTATTGGTGTTCAAGGCGCTACATCACTATTACCCTGCTAATTTGGGCCAATAAAACATTCCAAATACCATCTCGGCTCCCTTTGGAGTATATACAGCTCAATGCTGCCATTTCAGCACAAAGCAGCTAAAATCAATCACAATAACCATCTCTACCCTTGCACTGGTACCCAATCTACTCCTGGGCGGAGAGACGCAATGAGTGGCAAAGTGCCTCTCCCAAGGGCACACGCACCAGGCTGGACTCGAACCCACAACCTGCAGAATTACCCGCAGACCACGAATTTAATACTCCAGACAATGAGGTCATGGCCCTCCACTCAACAAGAAGATCCCAAAATTTCAATTTAAGCTTAAATCTGTCTGCACTTACATTAATAATAATAATAATCGGCATTTAAGAACGCTCTAATTAGTAAACTAAACCACAGCGCTTACAGTATTGTTATTACCCCTGATCATTGGGCCAATTAAACATTCCAAATACCATCTCAGCTCCCTGGGGAGTATACAGCTCGATGAAGTAGGCGCAAGGAAGCTAGGTCTGACGTTCTTGTTTCTGTCATTTCTTGAACAGTTCCTAGTGCCTGTAACGGTGTGACGGGCGAACCGTCGGGCATCATCTACAACATCGGCCAGAACACCAACGGGGAGACTTGCTCCCAGATCATCGCCGTGTCGCCTGGGAAGGAAGTCGTCTTGCATATCGTCAAGATGGTTATCGATTGTAGTACAGGTAAGCTAAAAAACAAATTAATCAAACCGTCAATAATCAATAGTTTGCTGTTCATTAGTTTAAACTCAATCTACTCATATTTTGACTCCCGAGAAACTTTCAGATTGTTTTGACCTGTTCTTCATGCTTATAAGTATATGCATACATAAATTTTGGTCAAAATTTATCACAGACAATTGGATTCATTGACTTTACTTCTTTGTTGACTTTACTTCTTTGGAAAAGTATTATTTGCAACAGTAAAACATCAACATAGAGTCTATATAGTCCTATTGTAAAACTACATCTCCTACTATTACTAGTGTTTTAGTATATTAACAAAAAATGGTCCATGTTTTTCTCTTGTCAAAAAATGGACCTGCATTTAAAGTTTGGGAGGGCATCCTCACTAGCTTTTTAAAAACAGTTTATACCTTTCAATTTAAGATTCACTCGTGTGCAAAATTCAGTTAACTAGCAAAGTGGCGGATCCAGGGGATGTGGAGGGGGTGCCCCCCCCCCCCCCCCCCCCCGTGACCAAGGCAATTTTTCACTTGAGAGACCCCTTCCACACCCCGACACATCCTTCATACCCCCCCCCCCCCCCACTACAATGAAAGTAGCTAATTCTAACACCCAGATCCTTTCTAACATTTCTTATGCTTGTAGAGAGCTTCAAGATTAAAGTCGGTCTGAGCGAGCAGCGCTACTGCGGGTACATTGCCAACCGGCAGATCACGGTCGGGCACAACATTGTCAACATTGAGCACAAGACATCCACAGCTAACAATGGCTACCATCTCAGCTACAGCCTGATCGACTCAGCTACACCGCCAAATCGTAAGTCCATCTCATACAAAATAATTTGGTTATAAAAACTACCTGAATACATTCAAAGCAGAGCTGACACTATCAATAACCCAAGAGCTAGCTTGAAGACATAATGATGTTGTACAAATTTGGAAGGAACTGACAAACTGTCCTTCATTGCTACTGTTTGACTTTTGTCATTTCTTAGCCCACAAATTTACCTCTCAATCCTTGTATAGAACTTAAAAAAAAGGATACCATTATAAATATGTTGTTTCGTATGAAATTTTGAAGAAAAAAAAATTAAGAAAATATTTCTCATAGATATGCTCAAAGCAAACACCTTGCTGTATATTAAACCAAAAACAACTCTTCCCTATAAAACAAATGTGAGTCTTAACGTTATGGATTAAACAAAAATCTAACTATACCCTAAACAGGTTAAGAATGTTTAGTGTGGGGGATACCAAAGATAAACACTTCAAATAGTTTAACATTGGTTTGTGACACTTGGGAATAGTTTGCAGATACACCATGTGTGGTGCCTCAACCCAGGGCGGATCCTGGAGGGGGGAACAGGTCTCATCCCCCCCCCCCAAAAAAAAATGAACCCCAAAAGTGACGTCGCAATAAAGGCAGGCACTGCGTACACCACAATCTTTTCTTTAAAAAAATGGTCAAAGTGGTCAGAAATTGACCCAGTTCACACCACAGAACATCTAGAATTTAAACATTTTTCGGGGCCCATAAACGGGCCCCGAACCCCAAGCCATAATTTTTGGACCCACTTTTTGGGGGACCCAAAGATTTATTGGCCCTCCCACAACTGAGTTCTGGATCTGCTCTTGGCCTCAACTTAACGGAGAGACGGTCAGAGAAACTTGTAGTTTCAGTTGGTTTGCGCTTCTGATGATCATCAAGATCATCTTCTAAACTCAAATCACCTCTTCTCTAAAGACAATCACGTCACATGGTGTATCCCAAATCTTCTCCCAAGAGAAGCCTCAAGTCACATTTATCAATAATTTGAAATTAAAATGCAATTTTGTGGTTTGCCTACTAGCATGCGACAAAGTTCTGACCGTGGCAAGCGGTCGCATCACCAGCCCCAACTGGCCCAATCCCTACAGCCCCAACCAGATGTGTACCACCACCATCGTAGTGGAGCCGGGCAAGAGAATTCGGGTCAACTTCCAGAAGTTCTTCCTGGATGGCGAAGAGCCCTTCTGTGCAACGGACTATGTCATGGTAAGGATAAAAAAGGATGTGGATAGGGGAATCTCATGTGCAGTCAGGTTGAAGCAGTTTCTTTTTAGTTTCGCCTCAGTAACCCGACTTCAATCAATTTCCATCAAGGTTGACAAGTGAATCGGCTTTTCAGTCCCCGCCGAAGAGTTTCACTGGAATATCATTTTGGGCATTTCTGCTCACCTCTAAAACTGAACATTTTCTATTCTACAAACCATTCTACCACTACCAGATTGAGAACAAATGTTTGAATGAGGCAAAATTATAATGCACCTCGCCTAAAAACAAATTGGGAAATATCCACCAAAATATTTTTGTTTAAATTTCAAGGGTTGTCAGAATACACAGACTGTTTCGCTGAAGAAATTGGAGGACTTTTAGCAAAATGTACTAAAAAGACGTTTCGGAAAGAACGTTGCATCCCGACGCCACATATTTCAGTAATGTATTATCTCAATGAAGGTCAGTCGTTGAAAAACTGTTGAAAAGAAATGAATCTGGGACTGAAAAACATTTCCAATTTTTATATAGAAAAACTTTGAAAATGCACTCGACTATCCATAGACTTTGTACACAACCAAAGAAGTGGCGTTTAGATACTACATTCTTTCTGAAGTTTCTTCTTCCACAGCTGAAGGCAACTGAACAATCTTCCCCTAGTATACACCAATCCGGACATGATTTCCATTCTATCACGAAGACCCCCTTCAATGGCGAAAGCATTGTGCAAACTACATGTATCGAATCCGTCACAGGGCAGTTGCTTTGTACAATAGCATGCACAATGGATTCTCCATTGAAGGGGGCCTCCTGCGTGTACAGTGATTACGTGTCTGGATTCATCTACAAAAACAAGAGAACATTTTACCCATAACTCACTCCGCTCATTTCACCCACTCTGAAGTTGAGTTTTCAAATTTGTTCCTACCTTACGCTTACAACTCTCACTTTTCTCCGCAAATACGCAGATTACCGACAACAATGCTCGTAACGACAGCCCAGTCTTCTACTGCGGGACCAAGGGTCGATTCAACTACCGCTCCAAGAGCAACATGATTGCCGTCACCTTCCGATCCGATGCCACCCAGGAGCTGAAGGGATTCAAGGCTGCCCTGAAACAAATCAATTAGATCAAAATATTAATCATTTATTTATTGATATTATATGTTATTCAGGTAGGAGGTATATTGTACTTACCACTTTGTGGTTTTCATGTAAGTAACTTTTATAAATAAATTTTAGCATTACTATTTTCATACATTTGGAAAGTGTTCCAACAAGCTTTAGACTTGAAGAGACAATTTGAAAATTCTATCACAAATGCCAAGTGATTCTCCAATTAATTCAGTAAAGTATAAAATAAAGTTTTACATTTCTATTTTTTTCATTTTTCATACATAGTTCGTGTGCCCCTACATGTGTTAAGGTTTTGGAAGATCTATTTTAAAAAGTATATTTGAAATGCCAAGTGATATTTCCTTCTTGGTTTAAATTTGAACCTTTCTTTCTAAACTGGCAACACTGGCTTATGAAATTAAAAGTGGATAAAAGTGGGATGTGAAATTAGTGTCCTTTCTTATTCAAAGATTGACTTGAAAGCCATTCCTAGCACTAGAGTTTTCCCATTTGATTTTTATGATAGACCATTAATACCTTGTTTTGTTTTTTAAACTCAGGTTGGAAGAAAGGTGTTTTTTACCAATATGCCTGCGTTATTACAAACACCATTCTAAGCAATAGTTGATTTTTTGATGTACTGAATTAATCATGCGCCTAACGTAAGTTTATGGTGCAGAATGTCATGAACAGATATACCCTTTGTACTCAAGAATAAATCAGAGGATTTAAATATTTCAACCATATTATTAAATTTGTTCTAAAGTATCATTGTTTTGCTCAGCACTGCCAAGTTTTACTAAAGCTAGGTTCACACAGTCCCAAATTAGTTGTGAAAACAACCAGAATAAACCAAGAATTGAAATTGGTTCCCGAATTACCCGACAAATTTGAACATGTTCAAATTTGTCGGGGCTCTTCCAAATCTTTCTCGATCTTTCACCGAGCTATCAGAATCATCCCGAGGCAGCCAAAAACCAGTTCCCGATTTACTCAAGGATTGCTATTCTTGGCGATTCGCCTTAAAAAATCGGGAATGTGTGAACTTAGCATTAGCAAAGCCTGAGCTGATTTTTGGCTTGCCTTATAAAGCACCTTTTTCCGGTAAGCAGGGTTTTTGTTACCAAAATGTTTCTATTTTCTTTGACTGTAACAATGGCAGCAAAAGAACATCTTGATAAATAAACTACATTCCAACTGGCATATGTCACCATACAACAAAATTAACACTTGTGATGAGATCCATCCATTTTTTTTATATAAACAAAATTTATTTCATATATTTATATATATATTCCAGCAAAAACTAAAACCATGACTTGATTAAATAAAAAATCTTTAAAAAAAAATCCCCACCACAGAGTACTGACAAAACTACACTTCTAAGTATCTTTTTAAAATCGAACACATGACATAAATATGATTAATGAAATTTGAGATTCTGTGATCCTTCACGTCATTGTTGAACACATGCCACCTGCTAATACAGAACTGGCCAATGAAACAAGTTCCTTAAGTCACATGACAACCCCACCTACAAAATAAGCACGCGTGTGTTTCTACTTCCGTTTTCCATTTGTGATGGGGTGTTCTGGACTTTGAGAAATGACGAGAAAGGCCAATTCCTAAACTGGAAGCCTTTTGGGTGAAAAAGACCATCTCTAGTCATCGCAAACTTGTCTGGCTTGTTCTGCTTATTACTTTGGGCCAAAAGTAATTTTGGGGACAAAATGTATAGGCCTATATGCAATTGACCATCTAAAACAAAAGCCCCAAAAAACAACAACATGGGCTTGCAAACGACGACTAGACTTGGAGTGACACAGGTTTTTGATGATTGTCAGTTCAAGATTCAAGACAGTGACCAAAGAGATATGTGACCATAATGACCAACATACTGGCTGGAGTTGGCGAGAGGTCACATAATGTACACATGGTCACATGGTCGATCAAACGACAACTTGTGTTCCATTCTACTCAACGCTCACAGAACATGACCAAAAGGTCTTGTAATATTAACATACACCGGATACAAAGGTAAATACGACATTCTACAAAGAGTAACTTACTAATGAATACTACAATAGTACAACAATAAAATCATTCTAATATGATTATAAGAATGAGGCCAATGTTTGTCAGGGGACAGATGCTGCAAATGAATCTGAGGACATACTCCATTACATACGTGGACCCCCAAAGTTTTTTGCTAAAACAATATGGGGGTTATTTAAAACAAGAATGGCTGCACCAATGCATGTAGCTAAGACTGGGGTGTCCCATTGTATGTGCAATCAAAAATCCAGTTCACGTTTATGGACAGCTTCATATTTTGATAATTGCGATATGTACATGTATTTCTAAGCAGCACTTTGTTCTTGAAATTATCTGGATTGTTCAGTGAAAGAGATTTTGATTCCGACCCAAAAATCGCTAACTTTAACTTTAACTGTGTACTACGGGTACTACTGCATCATTTTGGCACAGGCACCTATTGTTAAAACACACTGTTTTTGAAACATTACTTTTTTTTTAAAGAACGAAAAGTTGTGCACAGTTTATACCTGTATTATAAACTTGCAATTTTACTGTCAATTAAGAAGTCAACTTATATACATTGCATATTGATAATTACACCATAAACATCCTTTAAAAACAAATCATTTACTACATTAATTTACAATGCTTTAAAAACATTGTCCATCTTTAATTCCATTTCCGATACAAAAATAAGGCAAAGGTTTAAGGAAACTCTTAGTTACTATGCATTATATATGAATGTTTAAAAATGCTATCCCAATACATGCATACAATAATCTTACTATAAAGAAACCATGTTTAACTTTCCATACCATAATTTCTATTAATTTTGAATCAATTTTTGTTTGTTCATCCCCGACACTCCACTTAATTCATTCGGATTACAATTACTCATGATTTACTTAGGCAAACATACAACAAATTATCAGTTATCAATAAAATACACAAAGGTAGTCATTTGTAAACATGCCACAAATAAGACATACTTTAAAAAAAAAACTTGGCACAGAATGTTCTGCATTAAGGAATGCTTGCCTCTTCTTCAAGTCGTGTTAGAATCAGTCTCAATATATGAGCATCAGGTTGGATGTTTATCACGACCATTTTGAATTGTACAAGAGTTGGGATCTACTCAATCACAAGTTAGATCACAAGTCATCGGAAGCGGTCTGCCTTTGTCATGTTCATCTTCACAGCTTGTGAATGGACTTGTGATTGGACTTGTGATTGACATGTGATTAGCATGTGATTGACATGTGATTAGCATGTGAATGACTTGTGATTGGCTTGTGACTGGCATGAGATTGACATGTGATTGACTTGTGATTAAGTTGTAATTGACTTGTGACTGACAAGTGATTGACTTGTGACTGACATGCGATTGACTTGTGATTGACTTGTGACTGACTAGTAATTGACTTGTGACTGACATGTGATTGACTTGTGATTGACTAGTGACGGACATGTGATTTACATGCAATTGGCTTGTGATTGGTTACTGATTGACTTGTGATTAACTTGTGACTGACTAGTGACCTCTGAGTTTGGCTTTGAACGATTGTAGTATAGAGACAATCCAAACTGGTGCTCATTAAATAGTGAAAGCTCACCATAGACTCCTGGCATACATATTTGTCTTCAACTGATCACAAATGTGTTCATTAGCCTATATACAGTCAATTATTCTGACATCTACTCCTGTTTACCCACAAATCAATGAATACTTTTTTTTATATAAGTGCACTGAGTATTAAAAACTTCATGGCTTACAGAATTTACAAACACGCCAAAGAAAATACATTGCAAGTTTTACTTGCTATTTCTGCCAAATTCAAATACAAACTACTTATGCTTTGAAATCAGTGAATGTGTCTAACACTAGTCTTTCTAAAACAAACAATGCACACAACAGCAATAATTCATTGCTTGTCTGTTAACCCCCAATTCACCATTATTTTCTCTCTCTCTGGTAGTTTTTTTTTTAAGATAATAATGAACAATGCTTTTCCCTGTAGAAAAAGTAATAAAAATGGAAGAAACAAAATATGTCAGTGCATTTGAAGTTTCTGAGAGACGACGACATTTCCTTAAAAAAAATAGTAATCGCAAACTGAATATGGTCATTTCATTTCACAAAGATCAACAACAGATCAAAACTACAGTGTTTACTCCGGTAAACAGAGTTGTTGACACAAAGCCAGATAGTGAGATGCGTTGTGGGTTTACTGAGGGATCTCGGCTATAATGTCCTCCACACGTTGGTCGGTGTCGATGCTGGCTCCTGTGGGAACAAATTGAAGTGCATTTAACCAAAAAAAATGGTGTGCAACAATGAAGGAAAGGGGAACGTGTGATGGAGGTGGTGTGGGTCAGGGGGCTGGGGTAGGGGTTGGGGGTAGCGGTGGGGGTCGGGTTTGGGGTTGGGGTGGGAGTGGGGGTGGTAGTGGGGGATGGGGTGGGGGTTGGGGGTCAGGGTTGGGAGTTGGGGTGTAAGGGATGAGGGGAAGGGGACGGGGAGGGGAAAGGGGAGGGGAGGCGGGTGAAGACACAGGCAATGTTATTTACACCGTGCGTCAAGCCTGTCAGTAGCTAACAGTCAAAACAGCCGTCCTGGCATCTTTCTCATAGTTTTTATCCATACTGTTTAAAGAGCAAATTCTACAAGTTCAACCATATTTTATAGCAAGATACATACTGCTGGATTGATTGGCGCAATTTGCTCTCTCCAAGTGACATACTCTGAAAAATGTGCACATGCTGCTATGCCATGCTGTCCTAAGATGTTAGGCTTATATTTGCAACATGTATAAATTAATGGTAATATTACTGTTTTTTTGGGGTATGCCTGCGTGTACAAAAAGCCATGACTACCAATTAAGTTATAAAACTATCCTCTGAACAAACACCTTTCAATGTGTCAATGTGTATTTTTCTTCACAAGTGATTTAACTTATCATTTATAAGTCTGTGCTAGAATACGCACAGAACCCCATGGCCCTTTTTTTTCAAACATTGTGTGCTTGACAGTTTTAT